CATCATCACTACATATAACACCATCCATCATCACTACATATAACACCACTCATCATCACTACATATAACACCATCCATCATCACTACATATAACACCACTCATCATCACTACATATAACACCACTCATCATCACTACATAAAACACCACTCATCATCACTACATATAACACCGTCCATCATCACTACATATAACCTCATCCATCATCAGTACATATAACACCATCCATCATCACTACATATAACACCATCCATCATCACTACACATATAACACCATCCATCATCTTTACATATAACACCACTCATCATCACTACATATAACACTGCTCATCGTCACTACATATAACACCACTCATCATCACTACATATAACACCACTCATCACTACATATAACACCATCCATCATCACTACATATAACACCATCCATCATCACTACATATAACACCATCCATCATTACTACATATAACACCATCCATCATCACTACATATAACACCATCCGTCACCAGTACATATAACACCATCCATCATCACTACATATAACACCATCCATCATCACTACATATAACACCACTCATCACTACATATAACACCATCCATCATCACTACATATAACACCATCAATCATCACTACATATAACACCATCCATCATCACTACATATAACACCATCCATCATCACTACATATAACACCATCCATCATCGCTACATATAACACCATCTGTCACCAGTACATATAACATCATTCATCATCACTATATATAACTGGTGCGATTGTGGATAACACACTGTAAATCTGTGCAGCTTATACCCCCATCATGGTATGAGGGGAATTGTTTAACTGTAACCCCAGTTTGACTAAGGGGTGAAGCAATAACTTGATGTTATATCGATCCACCTGTTACCTGATGACATAGGCATGAAAAACAGTTGTATTGTGCTAATTGTCTTGAGACGTGTGGCCGACCACCATCTATACTTTAACTAAAAGTTAACTCCATCCCAAAAACTGATTGACACTAAGCTCATAGTGCATAATGGTCAGCAAGCGAGCGGACCCGGGTTCGATCCTGGGCAGGGTGAAACTATGGACAAGTTTCTTTACGCCATTTGCCTCTGTCTACCCAGCAGTAATTGGGAACCTGGATGTTAATCGATTTGCTGGTCGTATTCCGGGGTAATGGTTAGCCAGTGCAGTTGGCGAGTTGTCCGGTCTTCTCGGACTATTCCTTGATACTGGGTCATGCAGCTCGTTAACTTAGGGCGTGGTTGTTGTGTTGGCGACAGCTTCTACACTTTAAACAAATTCACGCCTAGGTGGCCCTTGGGCCGGCAATCCTCGTTACACGAGGGGCAACCATTATTAATGTGAATTGACAGCTTTACATTTCACGGTAAATAATATACAGTATATTGATTAGTGTTAATATCCGTAGAAATTTATGCCAATATACGGTTTAAACTAAACCAAGAGAGTTGTTAGATTTATTGTTTATAGATGATTGGCTGTGCTAGGTCACACTGTATAAAATGTTTGTTAGGCTCAAGACCAAAAAACGACCACAACGCGGGGTAAATGCAGAATTTTCGTTCGATTTTTACTCCCGTAGACTTATACCAAGATCCTCGCCTACCACCGTGTTAGCTCCGTCCCGGCCTACTACCATATCAGCTCCGTTCTCCCCGACTTAACTGTTAAGTCAGTTCCGTCCTCGCCACCCACCATGTCAGCTCCGTCCTTGCCTACCACTGTGCTGACTTAGCCAGTGTCACCTCGTGGTGTAGCACGGTAACTGGGACCTTGTGGACCCACGCTAAACTTTCAGAGGATCTCAAAGCCCCCAGAGTGACAGCTTGGATGACTCACCAGTGTGTGGATACGCCAGGGCAGGTGAAGGGGAAGAGCAATCCCTAAAAAAAAAATCACTCCAAGAGTCAGCAGTAGATTAAAGACTGTTGTTTTGTTGTATAACAAACAAAGCAGTGAGTGACGTAGACCCCAGCACGCCAGAAGAACCAATACACGACAAAGTTACTAATCGTCTCTGAGTATGAACGTTATGTATTACAATATCAGAGAACGTTGGGTTGCATCTACGACTGGCTGCGAGGCTCACACAGTCTCACCCTGACTGCTGGCTAAACCTAGCTCTGCAATCACAAGCGTCTTCAACATCGTGACTAACACCAACTGAATTTCCCGTAATTCTTCTAGTTCTTTCTTTAGTTACGGAAAATAACGTCTCTCATCTCCTTTTTCATCCAGTTTAATCATCTGCGGTACGACAAGATGTGATAACGTTGCAGAGATTTCCCTCTCGGCGCTGCCAGCAAGATACAGTACGACGAAATTAAGCAAACATATCCAAGACAGTGGAGCTCTGACTGTGGCTCATACCTCGTCACGGCTCTCACTGGGGATTGGGCAATTCCCTTATCTTACGGTCACCCACCTGGTGTTACCTATACTCCAGAGCCGCTGAATTCTGAGGGAGACGAAGGGTGGGAGGAAGTAATCATGGGAGGCGAGGCCCTACAAGAGCCAGGAAGCCCCAGAACTGAGCTGCTGCACCCCACTCCCAAATTACAAACTCCCGGAGATTGATCATGGCCGCGTGCCCACCACCTCCCCCCCCACACAACTCCCACTCTAACTGTTGCCTGCCATAAGGAGCACAATCCAAAACTGTATTAATTATTCACAGCTTAACAGTTTATGTATCTGTTTTACCAGGTGTAGCCTACTTATCCCAAGGCTGTAATCTTTCTTAGTTATCCTTTGTACATCGTTCACTTCACTGATACCATTTAGTACTTTGACTAGCAAAATTCCGTTCAATGTTCACACTAATTATCGTACGTATAATAACTGATACTGACCATAAGACTGATATAACGCGATATTCAGTCCGTTCAGCTTGTCCTTAATATTATTATAATTGTTATCATTAGTACCCAACAACAAATCAGACAATTAAAACCTTTATCGCCAATAGCGACGGTATAACAACTTCTAACTTTACATCGTCAACGAACAGTTAAAATCTGATGGGTAAACTCTAGTGAGAATTTCATATTATGATTTCCCCCAAATACTGCAGGTAGAACAAAAACAAATCAAACACTATAAAAAAACGTAAAACCAAGGCAGGTGTCCACTAGGGATCCTCCACGGTCCTCTGCCAATGATTGGATTTCAGAGTTTGTTAAATTGAAAATCAAGTTGACGATGAATGAAATACTAAAAACAAAGGCAGCTGAGAGGCGTTATTTACTTTTATTTAATTCTACACAACGTGAACATTTGACCCTTAATTTATGTTGCAAAAATCAAAACAAAAACCAAATTAATTGCGCGTAGCCCTTTATACAGTTTATATATATATATATATATATATATATATATATATATATATATATATATATATATATATATATATATATATATATATATATATATATATATATATATAATATTTCAAGCCAGAGTTTAATTATTAAGAACGTCGCAGATTTAAGAGATAATTGAACATTGGAAAAAGGTCTTGTAATTCGCCCCATCCTACAATAACGTTACGTCAATGGATGTTGTAGGGTTACACACACCCAGACTCGATATTGTATTCAGAAATATAAGTCAGTTTCCCTTCAGCGTTCGCGAGGCAGCAAATGTATATGAATGAGAGAGAGAGAGAGAGAGATATGAAACGAGAATCTGGCAGAGAATTGCGAGAATCCTTAGAAGGAATGATTGAGTGTTTTCACATATACTCTTTCCAGTATTAACCCCAAAGACACTACACTATGAAGGGTTGATATTTCCTACGATATCGGTGTTATTACCAGTACTAATCAATAAGACACTACGAGTTAGTTATTATTTCTTGTAATATCAATAACAGTTGGACGGCAAATTTTTTATAATGAACGATCTGTTCTTGTTTTTACTAATTCCATACAATTATCTAATTAGTTACATATATTTTTTATTCTGTTGAAGTTTGTGAAAAGAAAGTATCAGTGAAAAGAAAATTACTTAAACGTGTTCATATTACAGAATTGTTCCATCCTCATCTCCCACAAATGAACACTCCCGTACAACTATTTGTTCCAGGTCTGATCCCACGTCCACAAACACCCCCAGAACAATGGATAAATTCAATAAAGACTGACATTGAAAGACAAAAGCAATATGTTCCCTCCCAACCACCCTATCGAGGAAGACATAAAAATATTATCTCTTTTACCCCCGCTCAATTCTGCGTTTACATCCAATATGTTTAAAGACCAACATCGTTATAAAATACCTTTGATAAGCAAAAAATTAACAGGAAGCAATAAATACAAAAAATATGTAATACAGGGTGTTCAGTAAATGATGTATTTATTATGTTATTCGAATAAAAATATCTAACACAATCAATTTCCTTTCAGGTATAATTAAAAGCACGATAGAAAGGGTTAATATTTCCCGTAATCGTAATTATTATAAATTTACTTCAATAAAAATATGGTTAAATGGATGGATAAATATCTATTCAGTAAAACCGCTATGACACGTTTGCATTCATTTCGCATATGTATAGACAATGCAGGTATACAGTTCAGCATATATTATAAAGATAATGTTGGTATGCTGTGTACTGTACTCAGATTGTGTTACGTATACAAACAATGTATTTATATAGTGCGGGTTATACAAACAATATACCTCGACAATTAACTAGCGTTCATAAATTTTGGACATTACTGTATAAAATTCTGCCAGATACAAGTGAACATCAATACTTCCATTTACAAAAAAAAAATTCAATGACACTAAGGAAGCTGTTATAACTTTATCTTAGTGCAGCTTAACCCTTCACTCATCTATCCAAGCCTCTCGTTGACATACTGCATTCCGCCACTTCAGGTAACAACACTATAGGTAGACCAACACCACCAACCAACCTAACAGCCAAGTATTATAACATTACCTAGGTTAGAGAAATACATCTACGCTAGTATTCTATTAGTTATTTTATTCACAATTTTCACTACATACTGTACTACAAATATGTTAGTTTATTACACAGTGAGATGCTACGTCTTATATCAATAAATAGCTAAGTCAGGTACAGGTACAACTATTATTATTATTATATATATAAGAAACATTAGACCAAAGCCATATGAAGAGTGGTGTGATAAAAGAGGATTTGAGAGAGAGAGAGAGAGAGAGAGAGAGAGAGAGAGAGAGAGAGAGAGAGAGAGAGAGAGAGAGAGAGAGAGTATGTTAAAAAGCCTGGAGTTCTATGTGGCATGCTCCTATGTATATTGATGCAGTGTTAAAACGTAACATAATATATTAGTAAGTGTTAGGTTATCATTAAGGCCGCTACTGAATACTTTACTAGAAGCAAGATCTACTCTACCTATTGTACTGTAGTTATATGTAATAATGGGTTATATTCTTTTTACTGTGCTACTTTATATGGTGATTCACTCCATTGTAGTCTCTGAGTCTTGATAATATAACCGTAATCTAAAAGAGAGAGAGAGAGAGAGAGAGAGAGAGAGAGAGAGAGAGAGAGAGAGAGAGAGAGAGAGAGAGAGAGAGAGAGAGAGCACTAAAACATCATTAATAACAAACAAGTGAATCATCCTGTACACCACACATCACGTGAACCAGGAAAAACCTTTAAGTTTGGTGGGTATGTGAATCACAAGCTGAGGAAAATAAAGTTTGGCCAAAACACTACAAATGACTATTTTTTCACTACTACTACCATAGATACGATGCTGCTCATTTATATGATTACCTTTAAAGCATTACACCAACAACCTCATATTCACAAAAATAATCTACGTATTTGATTAACTACAAAATATTGTATATTTTATTTTCCTGATCACGTTCCTTTTCCTTTCTTTGAGGGCAACGAGCGGTCTAAAACAGACAGAGAACGATCTAGAGAGGTGTTGATGTGCCACAACTGGGACTTGACGTCTGGCGGCTTCGGTGGCGCGATGTTGACATTTTGAACACTGTTGGGTCGTAGAGCCGAGAGATAGGCAGACAATCGGGCGATGATGTACTCCACTACCTCATAGTCATTAGGCTGACGTGATATATCCTGACTCACTTTAGCGAAGGAGTGACAGATAATGGCGATGAGGAGCTGGAACACTATCCAGTACATTATGAAGGCGAAAGTGAAGTAAAATATTGGACCAAGAATTGGGGACGCGGCCTGTATGTCATTAAACTTTTTATTGATGACAAAGAAGCTCGATTCAGCAGCTTTGATAAACGTGGAGAATTCCTTGACGTAGGTTAATGTGTTTAAGTAGAAGACAGTGACAAAACTGAAAATTAAAACTATGAAGAAAAGACCGAAGCCCAGAATGTCCACAGCGGCGTCTTTCAGTGTGGCTGACAACATACCAATACGTCTGTTAAATTTCAGGAGCTTGAGTAACTTTAAGGTACCGATGAACACTTGGAAAGCGATGACGTAACTGAGAACATCATCCAGAAAGGCTAATGGCTGTATGCGGATGTATTTCTTGCCTTTGGTTGCTACGAATTTTTCCAGAAGATAATACGTCAATGAAGTTTTTAACAAGTAAAACACAATAGCAATATATGATAGAATAATCACACAAATTTCGAAAAGATTCCATATTGACTTGAAGTATGACCAGCCAAGCTTCTTTAAGGACTTGTATTCGCGTCTCGTGTAGAAGAAGGTGAAGATGATGTAGAGAATCTCCACAGCTAGGACATAAGCCCCGCCAGGAGTGTGATACCGTAGCAGCTTCAGCCCCTGGAACTCAAACTTAGGAAGAACCCCTCCACCAGGAATAAACTCAATCACAAACATCGTAACAGCAAACAGATTTACCTGTAAAACAAAAAAATCGTGTGTTAATATAATAAATAATAAGGGTTTGTAAATACACTGTACAGTACAGGTATGTAATTATTTTTAATTTCCAACAAATATTGACAAACTCCACTCAGTGATTCAGTCGCTGGCAACCCTACAATATCGCTAATACCGTACATGTTTTTATGACATTAGTATTGTGTATTTTTATTGACGTTTTTGGTTATATCTGTACTGTATTCGTACGTATCTCTCCCTCTCTCCATACTAACGAAACCAGGGGCTACCAGCGAGTGAATCACCCTTTATAATATATCATGATTTTTGTAAGCTTATCCAAATACAATGTACTAACTCTACCCCACCCAACCGTCCAAAAAATAAATAAAAATAAAAAATAAATAAAATAAAATAAATCACTTGGGGGAGGAGGAGGGGGGGGGGGGAATTATAGCACTCGTGTTAAAATATCGAGATAAATATGATACTGTTACAAGCTTATAAGTTGTACTCACCTGTGGGTTGAAGACAGCAAACTCAACGAAGAGAGCTTTAGTGTGTTCATCCACCCACTCCTGAGCCTCCAGTGTGTCCAAAATCCACATAACTTTAGACATTGTGCCTCTCAGTTCCACCAGGTAGCCTCCGCCACCATAACTGTGTAGTAAAAAAAATTTTCTCACTGACGTATCTAGATTATACGGAATATATTCGTATGTAAACATATTTCTTTATTCAAAACACGTTAAGGATAATAATAATAAATAACTCATTCCTGCCATTTCCATTTGATATAAGGTTGCCCAATGTTTCAATAAAATGCTCTGTGAAAAACAGGAAAATCCACTTTACTTTGTATCAGCTTCGTTAAAAAAAATCATTATCACCTGATAAAAAATACACTTCTAAATTTATTCACTTAAAATTCTAGATATTTATTAGAAAAAAATCAGTCTGTCATTTAAGAGATTTTACATTTGTAGTATTCCCTCTTGTGAATTAATTCGTGGCATTAAATGTGAAGAAAAAAAACGAATCTCTTAAAGTTTGGAACTTCCGCTTATTTTACCTGGTAATTAAATATCCTACCGCTAAATGGGTTAGGTTAGAAAATTTAAGGTCGGGTTATGCTATGTTTGGTAAGATTTTATTAATTTATATTTGGTTAGGCTAAGTTAGGTTAGCATTGAAGTGTTTAATCATCAGATGAAATAAGCAGGGGTGCCATATTTTCATGATGTCTGAAAAAATTATTAATAATTACAGTACCATGAAGTCGGAACTGTTACCTTGCCAGCGTTCCATCGTAAGGGAAGCCGTGAATCTGTAGTGCAGATCTGTACTCGAACTTTGAGTCAGTCGGGCCCGAGATGTTCCAACCTGTCCCAAAGTCTCGCTCGTCGTCTGTTATAGCTCGGGCTGCTGGGTGCTGCTCGGGATCGCCTGGGAATAAGGAAGGCGTAAATAGATCATAAAAATAGGATGTCTCAGAAAAATGTATATCCACACTACCTTACAGATTTTCGTATCGAGATCGTGTGAATGCTTCTATTACAACAGCAACATTGTCCTCACTTGTTATGTGGGAGGTCTCCCACAAGTGAAGACAATGTTTTTATAATACGCAGAAGCATTCACGCGAGCTTCCCGAAAATCTGCAAGGCAGCATGTATTACATCTGAACAATGTGATACGCAATCTAGAATACAACTTTTGCATATTAAGTGATTAAGCAGAGAGTAACAGAAAATCAAAGCTGTTTTTTAATGTATTAGCCTCATGTCACCATTCTCAGATCCTACACACAGTGATTATTATACCATACCAAGTGAAAAATCAACCTGATACAAAGTGAAAATCAAATAATAACGTTTAGCAGAGGAATACACGAGGGAAGAATTTTTTCATTGTCTCTACTGTCATCATCACAACCACCATCTTACTCACCATCAATATCTTCATCATTATCACCATTACCATCATTATCATTATCTTCATCACCATTAACATGATCATCACCATCACAACCACCATCATCATCGCCATCATTATCATCATGCATCTACAGTAAAGACACAATCAGACTGCAACAGGTACAGTCATCAACACGACTTACCAGGGCCAACTCGTATCTGCCTGATGATAGGATGACCCAGGAGGAAGGTGATGCGGTCTACCAGAGTCCCACACATCTCCTGAGGGCGGTGCTCACCGTTGTAGAGTGTTGTGTTGAGTAGGTTGGGCACCAGAGCCTCTCTTGCCCAGCACCAGAAGTGATTGTTCTGATTAATCTAGGGAAGACACACAAAGAGAGAGAAAGTTAGTGAGTTAGTTACCTGTTGCATCAGTGACTATCACACATTAAATTATTACAATACGGACCACTATACATTTATATGTTTCAAGGAGGACCACCCTACATTTATCTATAGCAATGCTGACTACCATTCATTTACTGTATATATTCCAATACTGACTAGAAAGTAAGTCTTGCAATTCACTGCCAATTTATTACAATAATTATGCCACTTCTTCAGTATGACCCTTCCACTTCCTTCCATTGATGCTATATTACTCCTCATCAAGCTTGTCTTGTCAACTCCAGAAAAACATCTTGCAACTCTTTCTTGTCAATACTAACATTATAGTTGACGCAATCTATCCCTACAGCTCAACACCAGTACCAGCCATCAGCCACAGACACACACAGTTATATGTCATGATGGGATTCAAACCTAAGCCGTATATACTCAGCCGCCATAACACCTGTCGAAAATAATATACCTTAGCAAACTCAGGGCAGGTGGATGACGACGAGTGGGCAAACGTGTCCGCCAGGTTGGTCCTCATCAAGTAGGTATTGGGGTCCTTAGATCCGTGACTGATGGAGAGGATGATGGTGAGGAAGATGAGGTAAACGAAAATCTCCAACAGTAGCTCTTGCATGGCCAGTTCCTGTTTCCTTCGCTCCTTCGCGGCGGCCAGCTCCTCCTCTGAGAGACCCGCTCCTACTTGGGCGCGTTTACGTTTACGGCTACCTAACAGGTGGAGGAAAACAGAAGTATCAGTTAGTGGAGCAGGAAGAGGCATGGAGCATTATTTAGTGGAAGAGGAATAAACTGGGAGCATTATTTAGTGGGAGAGGAATAAACAGGGAGTATTATTTAGTGGAAGAGGAATAAACAGGGAGCATTATTTAGTGGAAGAGGAATAAACAGGGAGCATTATTTAGTGGAAGAGGAATAAACAGGGAGCATTATTTAGTGGAAGAGGAATAAACAGGGAGCATTATTTAGTGAAAGAGGAATAAACAGGGAGCATTATTTAGTGGAAGAGGAATGAACAGGGAGCATTATTTAGTGGAAGAGGAATAAACAGGGAGCATTATTTAGTGGAAGAGGAATAAACAGGGAGCATTATTTAGTGGAAGAGGAATAAACAGGGAGCATTATTTAGTGGAAGAGGAATAAACAGGGAGCATTATTTAGAGGAAGAGACAAAGAGCATTATTAATTAGTGAAAAGACAAGGAGCATAATTTAATGAAGGATGGATAAAGGAGAAGAGAGGATAATTAAAAGAGGACATAGATATAAATAAAGAAAGGTTAAGGCGTGAAGGGCGACAACTGATGAAGGGAGACAGGAAACACAAGTAAATGAGAAGAACAAAGGAGTGATGAAACTAGGGTGAAGAATAACAAGAACAACAAGAAAAACAAGAAAAACAAGATAAAAAAGTAAAACAAGAAAATCAATAACAAGACAAGAACAACAAGAACAAAATGAACTAAAACAAGAAAAACAAGAAAAGCAAGAAGAATAGGAACAAGAAAAACAAGAAGTAGAACAAAAAAACAACAACAAAAACAATAAGAAAAACAAGAACAAGTGGAACAACAACAAGAAAGACAAGAACAAGAAAAAGAACAACACGAAACATAAGGAGAACAAACAAGAAAAAAGAACACCAAGTACATGGATACAGGACGAAAATAAACAAATAAACAGAAGAACCAAATAATAACAATAACAGAAAAAAAAGAAAAAAAAGAACTAACATAGAAAATAAATAATCAAAATAAAAGATAAAGCGAGAAAGGAAGAAGTAAATGTTAAAAGAAAATATTCAAGGGAAGAAAAGATAGTGAGAGAGAGAGAGAGAGATAAAATTAATACCAGGGTCCTAGAGAGAGAGAGGGAGATGAAATTAATACCAGGGTTCGAGGAATTGAATACTGGGAAAGAGAAATGAACGTGGTAAGGAAAGTGACCGTCCCACCTGTCAGATGATGGAATAGAGAGGGGGGGAAAATAAGGATGAAGGGGGGGAATAAGGGGAATGATGGTAGAGAAGGGAAAAGGGAAATTATAAAAGAAAGGGAGAAATATGGGGACTGATGAAAGGTCGGAAAAATAAGGGTGAAGGAGGAAATAAGGGAGATGGTGAAATAGAGGAAAGGGAAAATAAAGGAGAATATGGTAGAGAAGGAAAATAAGGAAGATGAGGGAATAGACGGGGGAAAATAAGGGAGATGAGGGAATATAAGGGGAAAATAAGGGCGATGAGGGAATAGAAGGGGGAAAATAAGGGCGATGAGGGAATAGAAGGGGGAAAATAAGGGCGATGAGGGAATAGAAGGGGGAAAATAAGGGAGATGAGGGAATAGACGGGGGAAATAAGGGAGATGATGGTACAGGGGGGGTGGAGGGGATAAGGGAGAATATTGTAGAGAAGGGAAAAATAAGGGAGATTATGGAATAGAGAAGGGGAAATAAGGGAGAAGGGATAAATAAGGGAGATGATGGAATAGAGGGAAAGCGTGCATGCATGATCAACAGAGAAAAAGGAGAGCTCTTGGTATACCTCCCAACAAAGTCACCTAAAAAAAATATTTACGAGACGAAGTTAAGTTAGTTTAATATGGATGATAAAATACTGTAAGTGGTTTGTTTTGTTTATTTGTTCGTTGTTTGTGTTTAATGGTTTTGTTAGTTTTGTTGGTTTAGTTTATTTGTCGGTATGTTTGTTTACCTTGTGAGCTGGGAGGACTGTGAAGAAGTTCCTCGTCACTGCCCAGTTCGAACTCTTCCTCGTCATCGTCGTAGTCTTCGAACTCGTCTAAAGGTTTCTTGAGGATCCACGACAGTAACATGGCCATGAGGTAGATCTGAGGAAGGAAATGAGAGGGATGACGTCACTAGATCTGAGAGCGAAGTGAGAGGGATGACGTCACTAGATCTGAGAGCGAAGTGAGAGGGATGACGTCACTAGATCTGAGAACGAAGTGAGAGGGATGACGTCACTAGATCTGAGAACGAAGTGAGAGGGATGACGTCACTAGATCTGAGAACGAAGTGAGAGGGATGACGTCACTAGATCTGAGAGCGAAGTGAGAGGGATGACGTCACTAGATCTGAGGACGAAGTGAGAGCATGGGAGGGATGACGTCACTAGATCTGAGGACGAAGTATGAGCATGAGAGGGTTGACGTCATTAGATCAGAGGTCGAACCGAGGGGATGACGTCAGTATATGAGGACGAATAAAGAGAGGGAAGACGTCACTAGATCGGAGGACGAAGTGAGAGGGATGACGTCACTAGATCTAAGGACGAAACAAGAAAGTGGAATGACATCACTATCATAATAATAATAAAAAAAAATCCTTTACAAAAAAATATATTCACTAATTTGTATACCTTTGTTTTTCACTGGAACTTTGCTAGTATTTTTTTCTATGATAAATATTCAAAATGGGGAAGATTCTTTTCTCAGCACCTGGTATAATATATAAGGTGTTATAAGAACCAATCTGCCCTTCTCCTTATCTTTCCCTTTCTTCTCTTCCCCCTACTCCTTGTCATCCTTCTCTCCATCCTCCTTGTGTTCCTCCTCCTCCTCTTCCTCTTTGTCTTTCTTCTCTCCATCCTCCTTGTGTTCCTCCTCCTCCTCTTTGTCTTTCTTCTCTCCATCCTCCTTGTGTTCCTCCTCCTCCTCCTCTTTGTCTTTCTTCTCTCCATCCTCCTTGTGTTCCTCCTCCTCCACCTTGTCTTTCTCCTCCTTCTGCTATTAGAGGAGGAGAAGGAGGAATAGGAGAAGGAAGAAGAGAAGTAGGAGGAGAAAAAAGAGGAGTAGGAGGAGGAAGAAGAAGGGGAGGAGAACGAAGAGGAGGAGAAGGAGGAGGAGGAGGAGGAGGAGGAGGAGGAGGAGGAGGAGGAGGAAGAAGACGACGAGGAAAACGAGGAATAGGAGGAGGAGGAGGAGGACCAGCACGAGGATGACGAGGAAGAGATCGAGACAGACTAGAGGGAGGAGAAGGACGAGAACATAAACTGCGACTACTGGAACACCTTAAGCCTCTCACCGACTACACTGCCCCTCAAAGGTTAAAATCATCTATGAGTCAAAATAAAATGAAGTGAGAGAAAAAAACAAAAAACCCCAAACACTCCTTACCCAAGATCTTAATTAATCAGTATTAATTTGTAAGACTTCAGCTGATAAAAAGGTTGAATACCCAGAACGAAGAGGAGGAGGGGGTCTTAATTACTCCTAACTGACAATAGATTTATATTATTTCATCAAACGATAGAGCTAAATATTTTTTTTCACATCACAGTTAAAACAAGGAGGGAATAAATGTCTTCAGTGACTTGTAAATCCTGATTGTAATTAACAAGCTCCCAAACGAACATCAACTGTTACTATATAAAGAAAATATAAGAGTTATCAGATACATCAAGAATCACTAAATAGAACACGAGTCAATAATTTCAAACCACCAATAGTCATCAGCTACATCAACATCAATGATCACTAGATACACTATGAATCAACAATTTCATAACAATATTAGTCACCAGGTAATTAAGACTATTAAATTACCAGAAAGAAATGGGGGTCCTCGTTACCTTAACAGGCTGCGTGAAGAGAACACTGGAAAATATAGACGATATCAGCGCCGTCAGCCACTTGGTCGCCTTCTCGTTGCCAAACTGGATACCATACGCCCAGAGAAAGAAGACCGCCACGGCAATGCTGATGGCGCACAGGACCCAAGCAATGATGACACACCACCACGGCAGTGTCAGCTTCTTCTTCCTCTTCTGCAGCGACGAAAACGAGGAGAGTGACACACATGAGGACAATGATGTGTTTTAGGATAGATTCTCGTACCCTGTAGTTACTAAGTGACACATGGGGAACAATGGGGAGTTTTATGATAGGTTCTTGTACTAAGTGACACATAAGGAACAGTGAGGAAGACTTTTTATTTCTTTAATGAGTCTAAGATAAGGATTGTAAAAGCAAGAACAGGGGTTTAGATTTATGGTACCAGCAGGGCGGGAAGTGATACTGTTGTTGACACTAGGAACCTATGATTCAGTCTCATGTATTGAGAGGTTCCTCACTTGTATTATTTCAATGTTGTTTTGTAAATTTAAAAGGTTTTCTTAATTAAAAAAATTAGGCATCGTCTCATGTGTTCAATAGTCCCTCAATTCCAATATTATAGTTCAACGTCATCTTGTGTATCTAAAATCTTTATAAAACGCAACAACAGTCTTACCAACTTAGTATCATGACTGTCAACACTCCTCTTGTCGGTGTTCACGGTGGCTGGGGTGATGAGCTTCTTCCTGGTGGTCCTGGTGGAGGTGGAGGAGGAGGATGAAGAGGAAGGATGTGTCTTGATACCACCTGACGCCTCCACATCACCTGTCAGACATAATGATACGTGTAAACAATTTACACCTCTGTGTACAAGGTTCGAACCGAGGCCACCTCCGTTGGTAGTCAGGCGGCTAGTCCAAGGACTACTGATTATTTATCAACCAATCTATCAATCAATCCATCCATTCTCCATGTACGTATGTATGTATGTATGTATGGGGTATTTTTCCTCAGTCTGCCTACTATTAGAAATCTAACCGACTAATAACATTTAGTTTACACATATAACTCACCGTAGACAGACGGGTTCTGTTTACTGAGAGCTGCTTTCAATCGAGACGATTTTTCTTTCCTGGGTCGAGATTTCCTGAAGAAGAAGACGATACAGAAGGAGGGCGGGAACACGATCAGGTTGCTTATGAAGCCGACGCCCAGGGCCTCCGGAGACACACTAATTGGTCCTAGATTCAAGCCTCCACTACCAGGCTCGTCGGGCACCTGAAAAGAGAAATAGAATCACATGAATATTAGCACCTCTAGCTTAACCTTTAGGTGAATTAAGTTGGGGGGTTAATCTTTAGGTGTTCCAAGATATGTTATCTAACTACACCAAGAGATCAAATTGTTCCCTCGTCATCTATAGCATACACTAAGTGCATTCATATACATGTAATAGATTGTTTTGAGTTAATGAAACCTGTGAAAGTCAACCAATGTACTTGAACCTTAATGCAATCCTCATTAACTCTTACATTACAATATCTGTTGACCTCTGAACATCTGAAAGTAGAACAAGGTGGATCCCCTGACCAGCTGACAGAGCAACTAGTGAAGAAAAAAGGAAATAAATAGTATTAAGCCTTACTCTTTGATAGAACATCGCGTTGACCAGCATGGACAGGTAAAGGAGCGCCATACAAGACGAGAGCCTCTGTACCCTGGTAAACCGTGATCGAGGCGGCCGTAGGAACACGCTGAACCACAGGTGATCATCAGCAAGATTTTTCTGCACCGTTTTGCCGAAGACGTGAGAGTAGTCCTTGAGTTGTTGCTCCCCGGCAACGGCCACAAGACGGTCAACCTGTGTTTCGTCAATCATCAACAATCAAGAGGAATAATCTATCAAACAAAGTTAAAATATAATGTATTCGTATCGTTTGTTTTCACGATTCACTGACTTACTAGTTCAGTACTGTACAGTATTATGAAAACTGAATTCAGGTCGTCTTAATATTAAATATCACAATACATTACAGATTACTAGTGAATATACCAAATATTTGTGCATACTAATGATCAACACGGTGCACTGTCTGGCAACTTGTAAAATCTCACAAAAATATCTTATTCTCACCCTTCTCTCACCATTTTCTTACTCTCACCTATCTTCCCCTCTCACGAGTCTCTTCTCTTTCTCTTACTTTCTCTCACTTTCTCTCCCTTATCTCCCTCCTTCTCTCTCTTCTCTGACTCACCTGTCCATCTCCCTCCTCAACAGCCAGCCACTGATTTGAGATGAATTGGAACTCCTCGCCGGTCTGAACATCCCGCACCACCATATAGGCAAAGAACCAGGAAGCTTCCTTCGCCTTACCGCTGTTGTCGTGCCAGATCCTGAGGTAGTGGAGTGGTCCCAGCGGCCTGTGGTGGTGGTAGTTGTTGTTGTAGTGTTACGGGTGTTGTAGATATCAGATTCCCCCCCCCCCTTCCTCCTATTTCTTGTCTTCCTTCCTCCCTTTTCTCCCTCTCCTCCTTGTCTTCTTCTTTCACACCTTCCTACTTTTCCTTCTCCTTCTCGTCCTCTTAGTGTTCCTCCTCTTAATCCTCCTAGTCTTCCTCGATCTAGCCCCTCCTTCCCCTTGTCTTTTCACACCAGATTCCTCCAGTGGCTAATATGAATGCACTTGATGGAAACTGTCCTCCCATACCAACATCACTAGTAATTTTCCTGCTTCCTCATTCCCAACCGATTGACCAGTTTCTGTACTAGTTGAAGTGAAACGCCGAATTACCTTACTATATATCACTGTTTGTATACCCTCACTGTCTAGCTACACTGAAATTTGTATACCTGCATGGTTTATGTACAGTCTCGTTCAAGATTCTTCGAACACTGCTGGAGACAACTGGCAACTCAAGGCCATTTGTTTAGTACAGTGCGTAGTATAATATAATACGAAACAACAAAGCCCAACCTTTAATTGAACAACGGGGAACTAAGTAACCAATCACCGATCACTTTTACATTCATTCATAATTTTTACTACGTACTATAGTAAACAAGACTATACACTATACCATCATGCACAGTTAATGTATACTGCATACTTGCGTTGTCTATATCCATGCTGAACCTGACGTAAACTTGTATGCCGATTTTACTGAATATCTATCAATCTATCTATCTAACTCTGGCTAATTAATTACCTCGGGTCAATATATCTAACAAAATGATTTTCATCAAACTTCCACATTTCAACTTCTATATTAATTAGCTTATATTTTTCTTAGGTACTGTATAAAATAAGACCTGTGTGCTCGTCTTACTGACATACTAAGGAGTAAATACAGGATAACATACCTTTCTGTGGCCATGATGAAATGATCAGAGGCTCCCCTGGTCAACAGAGTTCGCTTGTCGTCTTCGTTGAGGGTCCGAACATCTGTCTCATCCCAGTCACCCACCAACAAGAACTGAACCTGAGAACACACATATACATACACCACATAAACCAAGAATTGCCGAGTGATAGAGTGACCATCATCAACAAGTAGGTCTATTATGAGGTTATCAAATCTTCAAGAGGTGAATGATATTGTAAATAAAGCCATGAAGTCAAATAGTGAGCCAATACCATCAGTGTTGGCTAAACGTACTTGATGGGTTCCTGAAAATCTGTACGTTAACTGAATGTACGTTAATCGGATGTACAGTACGTTAACTGGATGTACATTTAACAGATGCATGTTAACTGGTCGCACGTTAGCAGGATGTGCAGTAATGTTAACCGGGGATACATTAAACAGATAACATTAAGCAAACCCTGACAGTACAGTGTTGGTGTAGAGGACGACTAACCTTCGACTTGGTACCAGCACTGGGGAGCTGGCCTGTGTGCACCATTAGGTTATAGAGGTAGTGGTCGTCAGGGTTGTTGTCTGGTAGTGGCGTCGCTCCCACTTTCTCCACATCTTTCTTGTCCTGAGATATAAATCATATGAATGAATGGACGGATCACTTACCCCAAGAGTTTGTGCTAATGAGTCGTCTTTTACTATACCATTACAGCGTACCCTAATGTATGAAAAATTTGTGTAATTATGGTATTTTGTAATCATGTATGGTATTTTGTATCTACAGAGGGAAATTATAATGATTTTAGGGTTGTAGGAAACACAGAAATTAAGATTCATTCTGCACTGCTAATAATAATGATAGCCTAACCTAACCTAACCTAATCTAACCTAACCTCAAGTCATATTTCCAGTATTATAATTTTCGATATACAGTACAGCATTTCCGGAATACACTAAAAGTATATCTAGTATGTTTAAATAAGTTACATATACAATTTGTCAGCAGAAACCATTATATTCTACAGACTGACAGGAAGACAGACATACACTATCAAGCTATATTATGTCTCCTCTCCCTCAAGAACCTGTTTGGGTCAGGAGGATAAACATAGTGGAAATATTTATTCACGGTTCATACATATACATTAAGGACTAACAATCATAAAACACATGAACCAACAGTTACTTTAAACAAAAACAAAAACCCAACATCCATCATAGACAAAAACACAAACCAACATTCATTATAAGCAAAACACATACCCCCAACATTCATTATAAGGAAAAATACATAAACCAACATTCATTATAAGCAAAACACTTACCCCCAACATTCATTATAAGGAAAAATACATCAACCAACATTCATTATAAATAAAACATATAAACCAACATTCATTACACACAAAAAAACACAAATCAACATTCATTATAACCAAAAAACAAATAACAATCAACCACACACACACACAGCACACAACAGCTCACCATAATTCGTGCATAGATGAGGCCGATGAGATAGAGTCCTATGGAGATAATGAGAACGAGATAGATGGTGAGGTTGTCGGTGAAACCAGCATTGGCGAAGACGTAGGAGAAGTCGATGGTGTTGGGCATGATGAAGAAGCCAGACCCGAAGGAGGTGAGGTGGTTACACGAGCACATCGTTACGGTAGAGTTGGCGCCGATTACCTGAAGGAGAGAGAGCGTGTTTAAGATCGACAAATTATCACCTGAAGATTCTTAGATATTGACTTATTTCTGAGACAACCTACTCAGTGTCGCAACTACCAAGTGTCACAACCTAACCAGTGTCACACAACCTACTGTGTTACAATCTACCTTACAACTGACATAACCTACCAAATGTCACAATCCACTCAGTGTCACAACCTACCTTACAACCATCACTGCTCCAGGTAAGAAGTTCCTTGTCGAAGAAAAGACAGGAGGAGGTGAAGGTGCTGAAGTAATAACTCGAGTTGAACTGGGTGTCATAACTCAGTAGGATAGTGTTGTTGGGGGGGTCCTCGAAACATGGGTGCTCTTGGGGCTGTGAATCAAACAAGAATTTTTCTATAGTTATAAAAATACATAAAAGGTTTCAGTAGTAAATATAAAGATGGAAAACAAGAGTTAGTGCGGTCATAAAGATGCAACTATGCCTCGGTGACTTTACCTCAGGGATGGTCACGTTATACCGGCCAATACCCACAGAGTACATCCCCGTTACGTCGTCGATGACTTCAGAGTCGAGGAAGAGTTCATAGAAGCCAGTGTCTGAAGATGAAACATGATGTGAAGTGTAAATTATATGAGGAGCTACTCATGAATTAAGAGACTATTTCGTACACTATTAATTGAAAATAATGTAATGATATTTATAATACAGAAACGCCTTTGATATTATAATTTAGGATTTCTTTTATTCAATTAGTACTTAGAAGTGATCAATAAATACAGAGGTAATAATACTGTACCTAGAAGTACTTATCAAATACAGGGAAAAACTTTAGAAATACTAGAAGCATTTGATGGCTTTGTTGGCTATCCTTGGTCGAATTGCTTGTTTATCATTGTTTATATACGTAACTGCACACTCTACTGTCGGTAGATTAGTTGCATACCTGCACAGCCTATGTGCACACTGTGTACTGTACCTGCGTTGTCTACACACGGTACATGCTGAATTGTATATCTGCATTGTTTATATTCATGCAGAGCCAATTGTAAACTTGTATGTCACTTTTACTAAATAAATAAATATCTAGTAATAAGCCCTGGTAACAACTATTAAGTAGCAGGATAAATTAAACCACACGGCCGTACCTGGATGGTAAGTCAGGTTGTTGAAGTACACAAGATTCTCCGTAAACTCCAGTGAACCATTGAGTGTTGAGGAGGACCAGGCCAAGACCCATTCATCCACGTCAGAGTCATTCTCAGGCCGGACCAACACGGTGACCCCGACTCGAGGTGCTGGCACGAAGATGTTGTGGATGCTGAGGGCCATGAGGGGTGATACGGTGGGTTCTGGAGGGAGGTGACGCGTGTGAGTTACGTCTACTGTTGGATACGGTTGACGGAAGGGATTAAAGCAAGAGGCGAGAGGTTTCAGCCAATCATTGTGCAAGAGGCGAGTGGTTTCAGCCAATCAGTAGGCTAGATGCGAGAGGTTTCAGCAAATCATTGTACAAGAGGCGTATGGTTTCAGCCAATCACTGTGCAAGAAACGAGTGGTTTCAGTCAATCAGTGCAAGAGGAGAGTGGTTTTAGCCAATCACTGCGCTAGAGGCGAGAGGTTTCAGCCATTCATTGTGCAAGAGGCGAGAGGTTTCAACCAATCATTGTGCTAGAGGAGAGTGGTTTCAGCCATTCATTGTGCAAAGGCGAGTGGTTTCAACCAATCATTGTGCTAGAGGAAAGTGGTTTCAGCCATTCATTGTGCAAGAGGCGAGAGGTTTCAGTCAGTCATTGTGCTAGAGGAGAGTGGTTTCAGTCACTCACTGTGCTAGAGGAGAGTGGTTTCAGCCATTCATTGTGCAAAGGCGAGTGGTTTCAACCAATCATTGTGCTAGAGGAGAGTGGTTTCAGCCATTCATTGTGCAAGAGGCGAGAGGTTTCAGTCAGTCATTGTGCTAGAGACGAGTGGTTTCAGCCATTCATTGTGCAAGAGGCGAGTGGTATGAGTCAATCAAAATACCAGTTTTGATAAAATTTAAGGTCTGAAATATGTTCCCCTTCTGGTGCAACAAGACCTGACCTTTTTTATGAATTAGTATCACTTGACCAGATGATTTAAAATACCCTGTAGGCCCAGCACTTTAGAAAATAGATGTAGGATCACCACACGCTGATCACACTGAACTAAGGTGTATTTACGAGTCTTAAATGAAAATATAAAGGTGGAAAAATAAAAAGTAAATATTAAAGTACGTATAAGTGAGTGAGTGAGTTAGTACCAATTAGTGTTGGCTCCGAGACTGTTTCTTGAGCTCTTGGAATATACATGATGAAGTCCTCGAGAGAGTCGTTGACGGGGATGGGCATTGACATCGAGTCCACGAGGGAGAGTTGGACAGTGGCTGAGTCCTCACTGAGCTGGTCCCGACCTCCTCCGTACCCATGCACCTGACCCTTCCACTTAGCCATCTGTAGATAAGAGTTAAATACGTTACGTTGTGTTGCCCTCTTACAACGGTGAATGAGACACAGTTGAGTGTCCTTTAATTTCATCAGATCCTCGATAGATATAAATATTTATCACGTTTTTCATTATGCTAAATTATCAGTAAAAAAGTCCTGAGAGGGATGAAACTTTGAATAAATATCAAAATTTGTCTCAAAAATATATAAATCAATGAATAAAAAACAAAGTTGAAGTAAAGCAATATTTCTTTTTAGGGAGTGTCTTAGTGATACGCTCAACACAGCAGACATTACACATCATCACACGGCCATTCTCACGTCAACGCATAGGAGACATACCAAGGAGCTACTCACCTGTACACCTATAGTGATAGACTTATTGGTGAGACAGCTGGCCTCCTGTCTGGTGATGGCGCAGTAGCCGGGGAACACGTACACGGCTCCCCCTACCTCCACAACTCTTCCCTCCAAGTCAGCAGCATCAAAGAAACCTAGAAAATAAAATAAATGTAATTACTGCATGAAGATGGCATTAGATTACATATATATATTAGTAAACCACGAGTCATTACTGATGATACGACTGAAAGAAAAGATAATCACATACCAACAGCCATATTGACCTGGTCCCCAGCATCAATCTTAGCTGGTTCTTCCCCCACGACAGACGATTGTAGCAGTGCTCCCTGTGAGGCCCCGACGACATCAAGCATTTTCCCCACCTAGTATACGTGATACACTTGAATTAATATATATCTACATAATCTGAAACGCTACTAATGTAATATTTCTCTCTCCCACATATTACCCTCTTCTCATCTTTAACTCTGAGAAATTCGTTGTATCTATTTGTTCTTTATAATCACTCACCTCACTAACGAGTAAATATTTCCCATATCAGCTCAGCCCTTTCCTTGTGTACACACCATTAGAGGACTCCATTATTAACTTTACCAACAACGTTCTATATAAAATTATTTCTCAATCAAGCTTCCTGATTTCTTCCTCCAGGACTCCAAAATTTTCAACGCCATGGCCTATAAAACAATCTTACCTCCTTGCATATTTAAAATTACACAGATCACTTTAAATACATGATCAATTCTCTTTGTCTCAAGGTTACTAAGTGTGGTACTACTGAAGACCATTTCTTGAGTCAAATTAATTTCGAGCAACCGATCAACAATTATTCTTGACAGTAACATATATGGCAAACACAAAATGATTAGGTGAAGTGTAAGGACAAGTGAAGGACTTTCTTTACAAGGATGATCACGTGATATCAAATGACTTTATAACAAGCTGATCTTCTATGTATGGAAGAGACGGGGTATACCAAGTGTTGATATCTGGATATGTAAACAGCAAAAAATCATTCATCTAACCTTCTCATTTGCATCCTGATCGTCTTCACTTGGTTCATATGGAGCGATTTCCACATCTTCTTCTTCATCATATATTTCAAAGGACTCGTTAACTGCCATTCTTTTCATTCTTCTTGCTCTCGTCATCTTCATCAGTTTGAAAGTATCTTCATTCGTCGAGTTGGTACTATTCGACTTCTTCACGCTTTTATTAACACCCTAGAAGAGTTAAGGGCGTAGTAAAGAATACAACACGGGAAATATTGACAAAAGAAGGTTTATAATTCCAAACAAGATGAAAGTAATATTCCTCTTTAAAGAAATTCAGTAAGATAAAAAGTTGATTACTTTCATGAGGTTAGCAGTAGTGGCCAGGGCTCCAGCCACGAAATCCTTCTGCTGGGAGAGTGGCGCCTCTTTATCTGCCGCTGACGACAGTGTTACCAACATATCTACTGCCGACCCCTGGTTCTCCTTGGGTAGTGGGTCAGCTACAGCTCCCAGAATGTTGTTAACCTACACATCAAGAAGCAAGGGAATTTTGTCACATAAACTTTACCATAATGTTTTACATCCCTGATCTAGAAAGAATACTTAATTATTTACTTATACCTAGAGAGGACATATAGAAAAATATAAATAAACACCATGAGGGGCTGAGTTTACATTATATAATAGATTTCATTAATCCTGTCCCTCTCATATACTCCAGGAACAAGAGAAACTCCAAATCAGCCAAAAATAAAGACACTACAAATACGACAAAGCACATTAACTATACCTGGATAACTTCATCCATGTTAGTCACAGAAAACTTGTCAACGGCTCCTAACATGTTCTTGTTCTTCTCCAGCGACGCGTTCTCATCTTGCTCTGGCTCCTCTCCTGAAGACTCTGACACTGTTTACAAAGTTTTGATGAATATTACGACATTAATCACTGTAGCTCATTTTTTATTCGAGACCCCTAAAGGTTTACTATATTTTAGGACGTGCAATATTTGTTTTTGTTTTTTTTGGGGGGGGGCACCCCCCTACATATTTGTGTAAGGTGAAGCGCAGAAGCGTTTACAGTGCCCAACAGGGAGGCATGCGAAGTTCATGCTTGCCTTTATATCTCATGAGTTAAGGGCGTAGAAGCCTGAAGAGTCAAGGGCATAGAAGCCTGAAGAGTCAATGGTTTATGTCATCAAGTTATTGGAAGCTCCAACAACTTGTCCCTGAATACGAATTCGCAACTTTCGATTTACAACAGGTACCTACTTTACTGCTAGGTGAACAGGGACTAATGGGGGCTAGGAAATATGTCCAAACAACTTCCACCGGCCCGGGAATCGAACCCGTGACGTCTCGCTTGCGAAGGCAAGAGCGGTACCACTCTACCACCAGCACCCCCAGGACGTGCAATGAACAGGAAACTAAATACCAGTAGGAAAAAAGTCTGATCATTGCGAAGAACATTTATGTTCTTTGCAATGATATTATTAAACTTTATTCTTTCTGATTTTAGATGTCTGTTTATTGCACGGCTTAAAATATAGTAAACATTTAAGGGTTCTCGAATAAATAAAATTACCCTGTATGACCCAGAGCAAGTGCACTGCAGGTAACAATGACATTATTCACCTCTAAAAATTAAAATTAATGTATTAAGAGGTATTCTATAAATTTGAAATAAATCGCTCTGGAAATTTTTTCCATATAAATAAGAACAAAATGGAAATATGTTATACTGTATGGGGGTCAGTAAATATATCTTTCACGTCTTCGAGAAATATCTGAGTATTGTACCGGTAACTTGTGACTTCTGGAACACTGTTATCGTTATGAGTAATTCTGGTCAAGGGTTTTGGGTAATAAGTTGATGAAAATTACAGAGAAGGTTAAAAACAACACAAAAATCGAAAATCAAGTCATCGTTCTTAAGCTGTCATGAGTAAACGCTTCTAACAATATTGGTAACACCTGAATATTAACCCCCTAACAACCATCTTTCACCAAAAGATTAATCACCCTAACGGTACCAGGTAAGGATTACGTTAGGTTAGGTTAGTGTTAAAATAGTTAATTTTAAAAGTGAAATAAGCTAGGGTGTCTAATCTTCAGGTAATCCCAATATTCTTCCATCTACACATTCCTCCCCAAGCAGTATGACACAGGCAATTAATACAGTTAATTACAACAATGAATAAATTAACCTGAAAGTGTTTCCTAAACTATGCCTTTTAAACTTAAAATCCCTAATAAATATTGACAGAGAGGCCAAGTTAGGATCTGGATACAGTTTTTCGCACCATAGACATCGTTTTACCACACCACATGCTTACTCAGGTCTCACGGAAATTAGAAACCACAGCTTAGTTCACCTGATGGTTAAACACCTTAATGTTAAATAGGGTGATTAAGCTAAGTTATGGTTAGGTTAGGTTTAATTACAATAGGCTAGGTTAGGTTTAATTACAATAGGTTAGGTTGTATTATATTACATTCGGTTAGGTTTGGTAAGGTCATCATTATGGTATCTAAATCATCAGGTGAAATAAGCAGTGGTGCCTAATCTTCTTGAGACCCTCCTACTCTCCCCACTCTTACCCTCATCTTCGGCAGAGAGAGTGATGCCCTTCAAGGACTTCTCGGCTCGGAGCAACATATCCACCTTTGTCTGGTCACGAGCACCCACCGCCTTCGTCAGTTCATTTCTGCCAGTGTAAAATATAGAGGTTACAGAATATATACAGTATATATGCCAGTGTAGAATAAGACGGTTCAGTATAAACAATATTTCTGGGAATGTAAAATACAGAGGTCACAGCACATACAGTATTTCGGACAGTGTAACATAAAATACAGAAAAGAAAGACACATTGTATACACCTGGCCAAGTATTCATCAAAGGCCATCTTGGTGGGCAGGAGAGAGTCAATGTTGGCGATAAGGTAATGTGTCTCAGCTCCCATGTGATCACTGACGGCACCCCACAGAGACAGGTTACCGTACGGCAGCACCACCTGACCCACACTACTCGACCCAAAAGCTAAGATCATCTTTTCACCTTTGTCTGATAAGGCTGGAGAAAAATAAATAAAATTAAGTCTACTGCAATTTAAACTTTTGTATTATTGTATATTACAGGATAATATATTCTTGATCTTCAGAAAAATATTTAATGCAGTACTGTATAGGAAACACCATATACTTTTTTATATTGATATACTAATCTTTGAATATATAATTTTGGGCATGCAATGGTGGTTTCTTACGTGAATCATTATTTAAAATTCCAATTTTAATATACAGTACAGTATATAAAGTATATATACGTATGCTCAAGTAAAGAACCTAACTTAACCTAACCTAACCTAACCTAACCTTCTACCGCCACTTTTTCTTTACTTTGGCCCTATATAAGCTTTCCCATCTCTCACCCAAACACGTTTTATCATCCCGTCCATAATCACACTCTCTACAGACCCATAAAACCATAAGGGAAAAACAATTTACAAAAGGTCCTGTATTCAATATCGGGTTGTAGGGTTTCCCCAATCTGTGCAGTAAATTGTGTTCCTCGTTCTAACTGTTTTCTTTGTTATCCAAGACTTATACTCGCATGGCGGCTTGAACACACACACACACACACACACACACACACACACATACGTCATCACTCGTACTCACACACTCAAACATACATCAACACTCACACACACACACACTATAACTCATCATGTAAACGTACCAAAGAAGGAGTATTTAGGTATTTCAAAGCCTTCAGGATCTTCCCAGTCAGTACAGTTACAGACGACCGTGTCAACCAGAGCTGTAACGGCTAACGTGGGCACAACCTTCCCAACTCTTGTCTCCACCTGCACCCCCACCTGCACCCCCTCCTCCTCCTCCTCCGTGATAGTCAAGATCTCTGCACTACATGACCCGCCCTCTGGTGCTTTGTTGATCTGGAGGCGTTGTACTGCAAGACCTGGAGTGGAAGCATTATATTTATTTGTCAGGGGAATATTGCAAAAGATTGTAAAAATAATAATGAAATAACAGCAAGATTTACAATACTAAAAAAAATCATAATCGGGTTTGAAAAATAAATTATTGTTTTATATATTAAGTAATTGAAGTGAAATATATAATTCATGCAAAAAAGACTTACCTTGAGCGGTTTCTCCTGGGCGCTGAGCCGTCACTTGTACATCAAACAGTTGGTAGATGGAACCATATATCTCCCAGAAGGCATCCAGGAGTGCTAGCTTATACTGGCTTGCTCCTGACGGCCGTATACAAGAGTGTCTTAGGAATTACAGTAGGTGAAGTACAGTAGCTAAAACAACTATCTGTGCAGGTGGGAGTCAATATGCTCCGAAATTTTACGTGTGACTAGTGACAGCTCTCATATACCAAAATTTATCATCCATGGTCTCATATTGTTTCCCACAAAGTATACACAGATACTGTACAGTAGTTGTTTTAGCTACTGTACATTAAGGTGTTTTAATGTACAGTAACATTTCCTAAGGTCACCATAAATGATACAAATATAACGCCAAGGTTTCCAATTACAACATTAAAGAACTGGAGAAGCCCTCAATGAAGCACTAACTCTGTCCTACTAGACACGAATTTGAACTTGAACCTTTGACTTTATTACATTATAACTGAATGAATTCTTAATCTGTCAACATACAACTTGCTTGGTTAATATTATCAAAACTAGTTCACCTAATTTTTGGGATACTGAATTTTTTTTTACGACTGGTTCGCTTATAGACGTTTCAACAGATATTTTATAATATTTGATATCACCCAATCACCAAAAATTTACATCAATCAATTATCAAGACAAAACATGATATTCACACATTACTTACTAAAAACATCAACTACAGTAAGTGACAATATTACTAAATACACTGAATACCGTATATAAGGCAGTATTACCAGATACCAGAGGATTTACCTATAGTAACACCAGTAATGTTAAGTGGGAGTGTCCTCGCACCCGACGGCTCTACACCAAACACCTTCCAGGAGTACAACAGAGGAACCTTCCCACACCCGTCCTCACCGATGGCTTCTTTCCCTGGCTGGAGTTAAAACTTGTGATAAATAACCTAATTATTATTATAAGGAATTGCAATACTTTAGAGATTGTCATTATACAAAAATCGCCAAGTGGAACACAATCAAAAGAGAGACCTTTCGTATGATAAATACCAATAAAGTGAATTCTTTATATTACTCACATATCTATTCTTATACTTTTGACAGACGTAAGAAAAAATCTTCATAAATTAATTTGTATATTCGTAATTAATTTACATCACAGCACAAGGTATATTATGGTCTTTAAGCGATGACTGACCCAATACTTTAGTTACCCTCAGTAACCTTTTTCAGTGGTCGTTTTCTATGATGGGATAATTACTCTACCTTGGTGACACCTGACTAGAGAATTTCAGGTAACAGGCGAATCTCAATAACAAATATACAATAAAAAATAATCAAATTAGACCATAAAATAATGATGATAATAATAATAATAATAATGTAAATATTTTTTTTTAAATAGGCCATGTGTTGCCTTATTATTCCGCCGCATTATTTTCAGCCATTTTCACCACAGGTTCTCTAACTTTCATCTTGGGATTACTTATCACCGTAACACCATCACCTCACAGCAACTCACCATCACCTCACAGCCACTCTTGATGATGACCTTGGCGAGGTTGACCAGCTGAGCCCCTGGGATCTGTGTACAGAACCAGGGAGGGGAACATCCGGACACCAGAGTGGGTGGGTCGCCCACCACCACCTCCACCTCCACTGCTGTCGTGCCTTGACGCCCATCAACACTACTAGCCTGGGGTGAAAACATATGGTTAGGTTAAGTGGACAGTCGTATCTAGTACCTCACTTAGTCTCTATATCTCTCATATTCATCTTACATTCTCTTTTCTTCATCTTCCGGTTGAACTATTACTCTCTTGGTAGTGTATGAACTCTGATGAACTTCACACCAACATTACACCTATACTATAGAAGCTACCAAGTAAATATCGACTTCAGAACCCCAAAATAATTCTTTCAATTCGTATTTTTTTTAATTAAACAAATCGCACCAAAATCTGTTATGTAGTATATTACTGAGAGATGTATAAATAATGGCTATATTAACAAGAACAAAATTATATTTGATGGCAATATAAACACTGCTATGATGACTCACAATAACTTGAAGAATGTAAGTTTTGTCGGGATTTCGGAAAATGTCGATATCAATAGTGAAGGTTGGCTTTGTTAGGGACATCCAGCCAGGTCCTTCCCCCCAGCAGCCTCCCATGTCATTCTTCCCCTCGTATTTATTTCTGTTGTTTGGCTTATCAGAGACCACACCTCGTGCTGGTAGATCTTCATTCTCCATACGACACGACCAAACATAAGAAATGAGCTGAAAAGCATGGAATCAAATATATACACCTGTACAGTATATATTTTGGTAGGAGGTACCACCACTGGTTTAGGAGACCCATAGCCTCAGAGAAGAGAATAAAAATCAGTCAGGAAATATGAGAATTTTTCCTTGACTGTCAGTGAATATTATCTTCTCCTACCACCTCCTATTATATATTCATTTTTTTGTGAAAGTAAATTTTATAAAGGAGCGGCCTTAAGACTACTAATTACACGTTGAAGACTTCCTCAAACTCCTCAGCAGAGGGACACGAAACAAGTAGGATGACGTGTTCTCTCTGGACTGCTTCACAGCGGTACTCGTAACTGGACACTCTGGAGTCTTTGGTAGTTTCAACAAGATTGGAGCTCTGGTTTTCTAAGACTTAAGAACACTATTTCTTCAAGTACGTAAAAGTCTCCGAGTCTAACAGGACTTTTTGTTTCAGAGTAGTTTATAACATTATCTTCAAAACGAGGAAAAGAATGCTGAAATGCACTGGTGGTCATTACTGTTGTAGGAGTCAGAAAAGTGGATACTTTCAGCAGACACTAGAAAGAGGTTTGAGGCCTTTGAAATCTATCGTATCAGGAAAATTAGATACTTTGGGCATATAATTTGGGATGATATAATGTCAGAAATATTAATGGGCAAAGCTGAGGGTAAGAGGGCCAGGGGAAGGAAGAGACTGGGAATTATGAACGAGATTAGAAGCTGGGTACCCAGAGAGATGCAAAATCTTAAGAGGGTTCGTAAAATGAGCCCAAAACGTTGAGATGGGAGGAGCGTTCTCACCAACCCTTAGACATGAAGACAGTACTTTGACTGACTGATTGACAACAAAATTAGTGGCAGGACACAACAAAACAATTGCATTTGAATACATACCGGTATCTCAGGATAGTCTGGGTCATAGGAGATGTGTCCTGGTGTGAGGGTAAGTGTCTGTAGAGTCCCACGACGGATCCTAGGGGCGCCGCCCTTCACCATCAACACCATCAAGTCACTTTTGCCAACTTGGATCACTGACTCTGCCTCTAGTGCTACCCACACGTCTGAACCTCTAGTATCTGGCAGAACAAGTGATTGAATTTCGTTAGATGTTATCATTAAACTAAGACTTGTTGTTCACTCTTCACTAGCGCCTTAACCCCTTGTGTATGTGGCCCCTTCTGAGCTGAATAAATTCGTCTGGCGTTACCAAATAAAATATTAAGAGTAGTGAAGGGGTTAAGTGTATACCTGAATTATATACTAGTGTACAGGTGTATTAATGTTTGTGTCTTGTGATATCTACAATCTCTTACTCAAGTCACTCATTCAATATTTTATTCCTTTGTACCCTGTGATTATTATCTCCCCCCCCCCCCCTTCAACTGGGGAAACACTAAAATCGAAGGTACTGTGATGTTATGTTCGTCATCCTTGCCTAAAGTGTTTGAGCAGAAGTAATTTATAAGTTAATGCCTTTGTTCCCGCAACCACATTCAACCTTCAGTACCAATCTGGGACAAGTTTAAGGTAATACTTATGGAATTTTGATAAACATTAACAAAACAAACAAGGGACCACCTGATTTCTACCACAGTAGTTCTTTCGGTGTGACTGAGGCAAACTTTGTTTAGTATCTGCTGTTTGAGGTGACCGATAAGCAAATGGAGAAATTTTCAGTAAATACCGTAAGTCAACGCTCAGAATCTTGTTGATTTAACAAGTGAGGATATCAGCCAGAATATACGTCTTTAAGCAGGATGAAATACATCAACAATAACTCACTTGTCATGGAGATGTTGTATGACACGATGGCACGATACAGACCATAGTGAAGGGTACGCACTGGCAGGAACAAGACGCCCTTGGTGGTGTCCACAGCTGACAGGTCCTCCTCCATGCTATCGTTCACACGCGTCATCCCCCAGTCTGGTGGTAAATGATCAACTTAATCCAAAGTTTACACGACATATAAAATTTATTTATTACATAGACAAATTTCATCCCCAAACAACTTAAAGCATCCAATGTGATGACAAAAATATAGCTGACTTGTCATAGTGATTATTCATTAAAAAAAATACTTGTCGTATAGAATGAACTTAATTATAATACTCAACTTCAGCAAAACATTTTACTTGACAGACATAAAGCACAACACATCCAACAAAGATAACAACACGTACTGATTTCCATGCTTATTTCAGGGACACTGCAATTAACCTCAGCGAAGCTCCTGACCCAAAGCTTGCTTGCACGTGTTATGTTGACTGGGGCCTCCAAGGTGCCATTCTTCTGGATCCAGACATTAAGATGATCGCAAGGGAGAGTGTCAAAAACTGTAATATTGATATTTTCCACAAGTTCTGCCATAATAGAGAACAATCGAATTTTTGCTTCGTACTTTCCTGGCGTTGTGTATTCATAGTAAAAAGTCACTGATTCTGAGAGCGGTTTTGTCTCCCATTCTACCTCACCAGCCTCTTTACCTTCACACTTATCAGTTCGTTTCCAGCCCACCAAGTAACCATCCCCGAGGTCGACAGTGAGGCAGGCACCGAGGAATACTGGCGCTTGTATCTTAAAGGAAATCTCCAGATCAACTCGAGTTTCTATGTCAGACACCTCGACCTCCAGATCATGTAAGCTATCACGAACCCGCACCCATCCAGACACAACGTTGGAAGCTCCTGCCAGGCCCTCTGCTATTACAGCTACCTCATAGTCACTCTCCTACAGAAAGGGATAATCATTACTACCCATAAATATTATAAATCTCATGAAAATTTAACACAGAAAATCCGGATAAGTGAGGTTTAATCTCTATATACAGTAGTGTGCCCTGATTACCAGCACTACTAACTCGGTTTCAATTTCATTAACAAGGAGCTCTAACGTATCAAAACTTCTTCATTCCCAAAATTGTTCACTCACTCTATCAAAAGTCAGGGTGAAGATGGGTGTTGTCTGCATGAGGTCGTCTCGGCCACTGACTGACAGAGTGTAGTTGTCTACCTCGCCCTTGACGCTGCCCGGATTGATGTTCACACTGTCCGTCATGTAGTAGAAACTTTGAGGTCTTGTCTTACTCTCATCACCCTCCTTCAGAGTTATAACTAAGTCGGTGAGTTCCAGCTTCTGTACCACTGACACCTGCAAATGTTGTGTTACAATGATCTCGTCAACATCACTTAGATTGACAAATTCCCGCAAGTTTTGTTACTCGTATCTGACTAAATATTCCTTGTTTCTTAAAATCTGCAAAAACCTATTTTATATACTGCATTAATGCACATAGAAAACTGCATAATTTTTTTTACTATTTGGTGAAAATTTAAATGGAATTCCATTATATGAGGATCATCATAATTAATTTGGAGATGCAAAAAGAATATTTTTGTTACTCTTAAGGTTAACGTCTTACAATAACTCAAACTACATCAGTTAATTTAGGAAACTTGTAAAATTTAGTTTTCACTTAGGAACTACAGGTCTTATACAAAGTGAAAATGAAGTTACCTTTTTCGTTTTTTTCTGTAGTTTATGGAATTTTCAGTCACCTTGAAATTTTAGTAAAATAATTTGTTATCCTTGTACTAAAAATGACAAGGCATATAAACTACAAGTAAAATAAATTATAATAATTTTTAACACCAAATAATGAGAATATAAGAGTCATTAGTTGCCACGCTGTTCCTCACCAGTTCAGAAAGGTTAAGACGAGACACAGGATTCTTCATATACAAGTTAAGTCCATAGTCGCCAGGCTTCGAGTATATATACCTCAGGATCAGTGATATGGGTCCCTTAGCTCCTGCTGGTGTGTCTCTCTCAAGAGTGACTTCCTCAGGAGGTTTCCCATCCCCCCAACTGATCAAACCCGTCACATTGGTCGGGACTTCTTCCGGTGATGTTAGTGTAAAGGTCACGTTAATATTACCTGAAATATGGGTACAAAATGGTTTATCCAATAAAAATTCTTGGAAAATTTATCAGAACAGATGATGAAACACCCTAAAGTACAGTATTTGTCAGGTACTTCCATGAATGCCCTTGGCGCTCACCAGGCTAAGCTATGTCAATACTGTTAATATTGTTCACTTTGCATGTATAATTTCTTTTGGCTAAGCTATATAAACTATTTCACTTACAAATTTGGCGATACAAACTGCTTCAATTTCAATTCCAATTTAACTAAATGCAGATAAAACCTAAGGTACTTCAACCCATGTTTCACAGACCAAGTGTACGACAGATCTCAACGTACCAGGCGGCGACACAACAAACTTTGGCGCCTCTACCTCAGCATCCTCTCTCCCCAGGGGCCTCGCTACCTTCACCCAGCTCACCATACTGTTTGATGCTCCCGCTTCTCCTGACGTTCTCATGGTGACCTGATACTCCCCAGCCTAGTAAATAACAAAAACAATAAATCATAAAGCATTAAATAGATACTGTAATTCTTTTTTCTTCATCAAAATACTCCCCGTCCACTATCAGTTTTACCTTAAATTTCAGGTTACAAAGATATTTGTTATTTAAATTTAATTCCCCATCTCTCTCTCTTTACACGTACAGGTACTGTATTTGAAATTTAAGTAAAAAAGTCTATGGTATTATCCTGCCGTGTTTAATTTTCTGCTCCTATAACTTGTAAAATGGTGATCATGTTGAAAGCTAGAAATGTATACAGCAATTGTGCTAAAACTTCACTAAATATAATTTTTGGTCATTTACAGATCGTGTCTATGATATGCGTATACAAGTTAATGAAGTTTCAGAGTGCACACCGACTTTGTAAACACCCAGTATTTACAGTACATAAATACTGGGTAGATTAACTTATTAAATATGAATACAGAACTCTAGACAACTAGCTCTAGTATTGACACTTGTAATACGAGAGAAAAAAATGGACATAAGCCTGACGCCATTGTCAAGAATGATCTTAAAAAATGAGAGAGAGAGAAATTGCAACTTACATTCTCAAAGGTGTAAACAAATGAAGCAGTGGTGCTGACGAGCACTTCCTGGTTTACAGTAAGTGTAAACTCCTCTGCTTCCCCAGAGTTGATCAGAGCCGTGAAGTTGAGTGGGACGTTGGTCTTAAACACCTCACTGTGGGTGTCCGTAGCGTCGCTGGCATCTCCGTACTCCACCAGGATACCGCCCAGAGTCAAGCGGTCCAGTACTAGGAGCTAGGGAACATAGCTCACAGGTTAGGTTATTCTAGTATGGATATATTTCTTAACTCATAAAGTTAAGAATCCCTCGGCTTATTTCACCTGATGATTAAACGCCCTAACCTTAAATAGAATATAGATTAAGCTAGATTACTTAAGGCTAAGTTAGGTTAAATTAAGTTGAATTAGGTTAGGTTATTAAGTTAGGCTACATTAAATAGGGTTATGTTTGGGTAGGTTAAGTTAAGTAACATTAAATTAACGTTAGGGTATTTAAACTTCAGGTTAAAATAACCGGGGTGTCCAATCTTCAGGTGATCTTAAACATTACCAACCTAGTATGAAGGCGAGACAGCGAACTACAGTACACATTAAACCATATCCACATGTTACTATTTACCGCTGTTTACTGTAGTGTAATAATGAAACACCTAACAACGCTTTACTGGTATTTCGAGGCAAGTATTATAACAGAAATACTACAATATTATTAATCTGTACCAAATCTATTATGAAATGAACATTATTATTATTGTTCATCACTGTTTCCATTATTTTACTTCACGCAAAAAGAAGACAAAGAAAGATACAAGTTACAAAAATACAGTATTGTAATGTCCGAAAATTTTGTAATTTGCCAAAAAAAAATTGACATTTTCTCACACTAACGTAAAATGAAACAATAAAATATAACTAAAAGACTAATAGGCAACAGAATACACAGTACAGTACTTGGAAAGAAAATTTTTAGCACCCGAGTCAAGTGAAAAGTGTAAGTAAATCTCAGCCTAATAAGTATGTTTTAAGTAAACTGAATATTAATAGTATAAGAGTGAAGTGAACCGCAGCTTAATAGTATAAGTGAGTCAAATTATACAAGAGCATAATGAACTATCGCTGTAACACCTTCATTCTCTGATGCTATAATGGGCGGGGAACACAATTAGCATGCTCATATTGTCCACCACACTTAATTTGCATGCATATACTGTACATCACACTAGATATACTTACAAAAATTGCCCATCACGCTTAAGTTATTGTGTCAATCACACTAAATTAGCAAACGTGTTTTGTTCATCACACTCAATTTTGTACATTTTTAATTTACATCAGTATTTGCACATCATTTGGTTTTTTTTATATAATGGGATGATGTGAAGAAAAAACATCGTATATACAGTACACAGTTATCATTCTTTTGACGAGTGTACGTGAAGAGAGGGATATGAACGAACATGGAATACTATACTATGTTAGGAATATGTGTGTGTGTGTGTGTGTGCAAAGGCCTTGAAATGTATGTCTTATGTAGAGAGTATTTAGAGTGTATACATATGAAGAACTTCAAGTACGTACATGTTTAAATAGCTTGAAGTTTAAGCTTATGATAAGTACGGTATTTAATGTATGTATGGGGAATTTGAAGTATATGTACATGTACGTCTATCCTGGGTGTATGTATCACCTACAGGCCTGAGAATAAGTAAGAGTCAACTGCCTATGAACCTAAGAGTGAGTTAACACAAACACACATAAACAAACAAATACACACAAACACTCGTGAATTAGCTTGAACACCAGGCAATATACACCTACTGCTGGAACACAGGACCACACGAGAAACAGATGACCAAGAAGTGAGGTTAGGTTAGGTCACTACGCCTGGTTCATTTAAAGTAAGGTTAGGTTAGGTTAGGTTAGGTTAGGTCACTACGCCTGGTTCATTTAAAGTAAGGTTCGGAAATGAATAACATTTAAAAAGACAAAGAATATTACAATATCCTGTGAAAATATGATAAGTTGATTGAATAAAACTGAAACACACTCCAATTTAAATGAAATATAAAGTGACTAAGATAATAAGATTAGTATTACCGTAACATACAAAAATAATAAATGAAATATATAAATAAAGAGAACTTACGATACTCAAGAGAGAAAATTGTCATGGGTAATCAGAAGAAATAATAGTGAGAGATGAGGAACTTAGGTGTGAATAAACAAAAAGTCTGAAAGATAAATTGATAAGTATATAATGTTTCCTTCTCCCAAGTAATAGGAGTCGCCAGGGATGATGAACACAGCTATACCGCTTTTGGACAATCTTGTATCTTTTTAATTCACACTCGTTGATGACCAGTTTAATCACCAACTTAATATACGCGCTTAATGACCTTATCGGTTGAAGAATAGTAATACATTATTAGATCAACATAAATCTATGAACGTACGGTAATAATACTGTTGTAGAAATGATCAGCGACTGTCCATTTCTACAATAATCTACCCTAATTTTATGAATTCGTTAAGACAGTACAGTACATGTTATTTGTTATTCATTTAAGAATTTTTGTTACACAATGTCATTAGAGTTATTGATTAGTCCACTGTAAGATTACGCTGTCCACTGCCACACTGTTATTAAACTCCTAAAGCATTTGGTCCACTTTCTAGGCATTTGGTCCACAATGAAAGATAATTTGTCGGTCTGGTCCATCACTTGTCAATTTTGTTCAATAAGGAGAAGTGTAGTCCATGATCATGTTCACCACCAGAACCTTCGGTAAACTACCACTAGAGATATTAACAAGTTTTCCTCTTCACTCTGGTAAACCAGAGACTGTCTGGTCCACATCAGAAATATTTGTCCACCAACAAATAATCCAATCTTTGATACCAGACAGTTTGGTCCACCACAGGTCATTCCACTTGTTCGATCCAATTAATACAATTTCTGGTCTACCCTTATACTGCGAGGTGCACCAACAGTCCGTTATCAACCACTGACAGTTTGGTTTATCATACACAGTCTGGCCCACCACCAGACTGTCAGATCAACATCCAAACTAAATAAACAAAGTTTGGTAAGTTACCTAGCTGTCACAACTGCCAACAGACTGTCTGGTGTACACCTCGTCGTATAGTTTATTAAATAAACTGTTTGGTCCAACCGGAGGGAAACTGTTTGGTCTAGTAACAGACAGTCTGGCTCACCATCAATCTACATGATGAACCAACTCAGTCTCAGGCAATTCTAAACAGTCTAGTCCACCATTAGACTGTGTGATCCACCATTTGACTGTCTGGTCCACCATCTAAGTACTGAGTCCACTGCCAGGCTGTCTAGATAACCATCAAATAGTTTGCTCCACTATATTGTTTATTAACCAATTGTACATTTCAGTGTCAATCAGAATAAATGAATATGGTTCACCACCTTTGAAAAATTTACTTTACTGAGATACAAATATTCCTCAGTTTAACATAACTAAGTCCACCATACATGTCTAGTTTATCATCTCTCAAAGCTTCATTCATTATCGCTACATTGTAAAGTATAATTCACCTTAAAGTTAATAATTTACATTATGAGATCTATAGTTATTATAAACCTTACGTCACCACCTTTGAAATCAACTTCGCTGTCTGGTCAAGTCTAAGTCAAGTTTAATTAATGGTGTCGTGTCAGGCATCGTCTTTTGTGTTCACCTCCAAAAATATCACACGGGAGCACATTATATAAGTCTTAATAATTCGGTACCGGTAATGGGACACAACACGTCAAGAGTGTAAAAACTGAACTATTGTTTAGTACTTTAGTTCGTGATATTGATTTTTTCTTACGTAGGAACACGACTATAGTGACGGTAAGGTATTTGTAGAAAGTTTGCATAATTCTTCTTCAGCTGTTTAAAAGTTATGGAATGAGCGGGAAAAAATAGACCGGTAAGGCCTTCATATAATGTATAGTACTGTACTCTATCAAGACGGACTCTTAAAATCAATATATGAAGGTCCTAGAATTTGTGTTTTGTTAAATGAAAGAAATTTGTGAAGCGCTGTACTTGCATTGTCATCACTTTTCTCATTAATGTTCCTCCAAAATTCAGCTGGTAAGATGTTATACCAACCGCGAGGAAGCAAATGTCTCAACTGTATAAGACAAACTTGTGCAGTCGTGATAATATCACTAACTAGCAAAACGTAAACTTTATCATATCCTCGAGATATTCATTTCAAAGGTAACTACAAATTCTCGCTTTCTTCACATCTGAACTTAAATTACTGCACTGGTTAAACGTCGATCAATATAACATTATCCCCCTTTATACCTGGTGGTGTAAAATAAAACATATTGTCATCCAACTCACCGTTTTGGTCACATTTGCGCGGGAGACAGAGTTCCAGGCGTGAAGGATGATCACATAATCACCCGGTTGGCTGAAGTTACGAGACACCTCCCGCATCACTGAGCCCAGAGCGCCAGGAGCCGTCTCTCCAGTTAGGTCCAGATCCATATCTGCCTCACCGTCACTCCAGCCAATGGTGAGTGTCATGTTGGTTGGTAACTCTCCCAATGATGACAGTGTTATTGTCACGTTTGCTATATCTGTAATGAGGTTATCATTCAAAACATCCACACCTCACTTGTACATGGTTTGTTCTGAGTATGTTCCTTCTGATTCAGATAAATGATAGATATAAATTTATTGATGGTTCCCTAAAACTGACCTAAGATCAAAATGGTTGTGCAAGACATGTTAGCTAGTGTAAATCTAAATGTTTCGTCAAAGCAAAATGAACATTAAATGCATAAAATTGAAACTTCTAATCTTAGTTAAAAAAATATAATGATAATGCTCAAAATATGTACCATTCCATTTGTCACTTGCAGGAGCTCATCATTTCATCAATATAAACACTACATGAAATGATCAGAATTAAAAACTTATATAGATAGTTACCTAAAGACCAAACCACAAACTCAGGTACAATGACAGCAAGGTGTTCGTCTAGGACAGGTCGCTGTACTAGCACTGTCGTGGTCACGGGCAGGGACATTCCTGCATCGCCAGATGTTGTCATGTTCACCACGTATTCCCCAGCCTAGAAACAGACAAAGAACGATGAGTCAAATTATGTGTGTGTGTGTGTGTGTGTGTGTGTGTGTGTGTGTGTGTGTGTGTGTGTGTCAATGTAGGTTTTGATATTCTGAATTAATAAATGGCCTCGGCACAAAAGGAGACAATGTTGTCAACACTGTACTCGACCCCCTTATATTTCCCAATTAAAGTCAGATGGGTCGACCCTCAGAACAGGAGGGAGTGCTGTATCCACTCAACCACCGCACCCAAGAATAACATACAGTAATACATAACAATCATCAACATACCGACTGGAAAGTGTGGATAAGATAGGGTGTGTCGCTGCTAAACTCTTGGCCTTCCAGGTAGAAAGTGTAGCTTGTTACGTCACCACTCAAGACCACGGCGGTGAAGTTGAGAGGTATGCCAGTCTTGAAGGCAGCCGAGTACCACAGAGGGGCGTCGGCTTCGTCCTGGTAGTTCACAATGATGGCTCCGGCGGCGAGTTCATCAAGCACAGTCATCTGTAAAACACATCACTGGTGTAATACTGTGATACTGGAACATTCACCGATCAAATAACAGCTCGTGGTGACGGTTCATTAACTTTACTTAAAATGATAAAAGGAAATTGTAATGAATCAACGAACATTATGAAGATACACATTTATACGTATATATGAATAAAAACAAAAGTCTTCTCTTCTGATTATAGAAACTACAGTACAGTCATCAGTGGAATCATTAGAAAAGTATGTTAACATTATAAGCACCTGTGATTCACCTGGGAATAATATGAGTACCTCTGACTCACGATGGGTATATAAAACTTTTCCATATACCCATTTGGTCGGGAATAAGAGGGAATCATTAATTTCAGTTATAATATTCTTGGGAAACACGAATGGGTGAAGAGGTTAAAATAATTAACAATTTTAATGGGCGTCCAGCTAGAGGTATGTGTAGATATATAGTATAGTATTCTCTGTTATAGTCAGCATTTACCTTGTCACTGTGCGGCTCAAAGATATAATGAATAACAATGTACAATACAGTACAGTAATTAAAAAGTGTAATACTGTACTACTGTTAAGCTAGAGGGAGAGGGGGGGGGGGGAAGGTGGCAGTCACAGAAAACAAATTGCAGGATAAACAACGAAAACGAATTAAAGGACACATTGATCCTATGCCACTGTACTTGTTAAGACTCAAGAGCAAAAATGATGACGAGTATGAAATTGGGGAGTCGTTTCTTTTAATGATGTAAAATCACGAACAGAAAGACAGACAACACTCACCAGTTTGGACACGCTCACTACAGACACGGGGTTGAATACAGTCAGAGTCACCAGGAACTCCCCAGACTCGGTGTAGTTGTGAGTGGGATTCCTAATGACTGACCCAACTGCTCCTGGCTGCGTCTCGGCGAGCATATCAGATCCCGTAGTGTTCCCACCATCACCCCAAGTCACGTTGTAACTTTCTATGAAGGTTGGGATTTCCTCTGAGGGTGTGACTACGATCATCACGGTCGCTACGCCTGAAAATTTAGCTCAAGGTAATAATCAAATCATTATGTTACAACCAGATTTATCCGGACTCATAATTTTTAGTTGTTGTTGATTAGTTTATATTCACTCGTCTAGAATTAGCGCTTCAGGGGTACAGAAACAGCTATCACTTACCTGGAGGCAAAACTATAAAGTCAGGTAAGGTCAAGTTGACGAGTTCATCCAGTAAAGGCTGTACAGCTGTCACCATCAAGATCATTGCTGGGGACACTCCTGCCTCGCCATGTATTGTCATGTTCACACTAAATTCTCCAGCCTGAAAAGAAAATGAAAATTGAACACAAACTACAGCTGTGTTTGATAATTTATGCAAAAGCAAGTGACAATAACCTTTATGTATAAGTACTTGATGTCTTCTTCCCTCCAGGACTTGAGGGGTGACTGTCAGTAGATCTCTTCATACATTTCATCCATTAATCGTTTTCGCAAACTTCTAATATTTTACACTACAGTAGTATTTACAAAACTCAAGCTGTCATCATCAGTTACTGTGAGAAACAAGAAAGTCTTGGAAAGATGAAGGCTACCTCAGGAAATATCTTCAGCAAACGTACAGAATCAAAAGGGTAGGAGGAAGGATACAAGAAAATAAAAGGAAGTAGAGAAAGCAATCACATACAAAGACCAGAAAAATAACAGAAACCAAAATAACAGAAATCAAACAACACTACCGTATGAATGAGGTTCAAAGAAAACAATAACTGCTACTATAGTGTTTCTATTGGTGACCGCGGCCACCTACAGTACTTCAAGGTTACACTACAATAATTCGACTTACGGACTGGAAAGTGTAGATGATGGACGGTTCATTCTCAATAATCACTTGGTCCTCCACATACAAGGTGTAGTTGGTAGCGATGCCTGTCTCAACCACAGCAGTAAAGTTGAGAGGTACGTCGGTCTTGAACATTGTGGCATTCCATTGTGGTGCATCAACTTCATTCTGGTACTCCACCATGACTGTCTTGATTGAGAGGTGAACCAGAACTCTCACCTGAAACAATTAACATTAGAACATGTCATGAAGTGTGATGAAGATAACTAAATGTATATACTCTTAAGACAACAATTATCTAATGAACTTTAGTAGGTCTTCATGGAGAACATTGAAGTATATTTGTCAATTACTGGTACAGAAAACACAATGACGAGTCTGATATGGTTAATGTGTAGCCTTGATAAAATATTGTCTGCACCACTAACCTCCTTGGTGACGTTGATCTGAGACACGGGGCTACTGAAGGTGATGGTGATCTGGTAGACACCTGGCTGGCTGTAGTTATGGGTGACGTTCTGCGACACAGCTCCTATGGCTCCAGGAAGGGTGTCCTGTTGCAGGTCGAGGTATGTGTCGGCCGCGTCGTCATCCCACATGATGGTAACTTCCACGTGGGTTGGCAATTCTCCTGGTGCCATTATTACGATCATCACTTCTGTCTCAGCTGTAAGAATTAAATATTTAGAGAATCTACCACTGAAATGACGTTTTATCTATGAACCACTGAAATGTTTTATCTATGAACCACTGAAATGTTTTATCTATGAACCACTGAAATGACGTTTTATCTATGAACCACTGAAATGTTTTATCTATGAACCACTGAAATGTTTTATCTATGAACCACTGAAATGTTTTATCTATGAACCACTGAAATGACGTTTTATCTATGAACCACTGAAATAATGTTTTATCTATGAACCACTGAAATAATGTTTTATCTATGAACCACTGATAAAACGTTCGTGTATGAGGATAACATAATACTATCTTTTTAGAGGTTAAATTCTCATTTATAAATAAACGTTTTAAAAAGCTGCTGATAAAGGATCTACACCTATAGCTATAACAATTGACTCGGCCTTTGAAAAAAATGTAGATTATAAAACTGTAGTGTGAAAGCAAACTATCTGATGACTTCATGGCTGAGCAGCGGAGAATATGGTGGTCGTTAACATAATAATAAAACTTTTAGTACTGTAACAATATTGATTCCTTCTTTGAAAATGTTACACTAAGGAGCTCACTAACGAATGTCAAATGAAAACCGCATGATACTTTAGTAAGAATACTAGTAAAATACAAACAGTAGTACGTGTATAAAGAGAATGCAGACTTTAACAAGAATGCAAAGAATATACAAATTTTAAATATAAGAAAAATACAAACTTTAGTAAAAATATGGAGGATATAAATTTGAGTAAGAAAATATATAATACAAACTCGAGATAAACTGTAACTTACCGTGAGGCCACACCGATATATCTGGGGCCATCACCTGGACGTTCTCCTCGGTCAAAGTTCTTGCTACCTGCACAGTTGTGACCGCTGGGGAAGACTCGCCAGCCTCACCAGAACTCACAATACTGATGTTGTATTCCCCAGCCTGGTACACAAACAAATAATTACCATAAGTTAAAAAAAAACCAATGCATTTTATTTTTAAATGCGATTAAAATGCGATTTCTTAGTGTTTATAATAAAAGCCAGAAAATTACTTGCAGAATATATTAAAGCCAGCACTGAGGTATTAATGAAGTTAGCCTTTTTTTTTTTTTTTTACATTTCGATGACTTTAAAATGCGTGTCCTTGATTGACTCACATTAGAGAAGGTATAGACGAAGGATGGAGAAGTGCTTGTAAAGGTTTCTCCATTCACTTGTAGGGTAAAGTTGTCGGGGGCACCAGTCAGCACCACAGCGGTTAAGTTGAGCTGAACGTTCGTCTTGAAGTAGGTCGTGTTCCAGGCCGGGGCATCAGATGATGTATGATACACCACTAAGTTTGTGTCGAGTGTATTATGTTCCAGCACTCGAACCTGCAGGGAAATTAATATTATCTACATGATCTGGTTACAGGTAAATGATATACTGTAATACTGTAATACGCAAACTTTTTATGAGTCATAATAATCTTGACATAAGGTGATCTATAACATTAAAGTCGTTCATATGCCGCGCTAAGTGTTTACCTGAGAATGAAGATATTCGATTTATTAGTTACAAAACCTCACCATCTTGCTATCATCAATACGTCCATAGTCAGACAAACAATGGCTGTACAAAACATTCTACAAGTAACTCACCGTGATATTGGTGGTGACTCGAGACACGGGATTTACCAGACGGAGGGACACCAGATACTCTCCTGGCTCTTGGTATACATGAGTCACATTGAATGTCACTGATCCTGTGGTTCGAGCAGGTGTGTTCTCCGTCAGATCCACTGATGTGAGGGTCGTGTTGTCACCCCAGTCAATATCACCAGTTACAAGGTTTGGCAACTCGTCCACTGATGTTATTTTTATCACGGCAGTTGTGTATGCTGGAAGAGAGAGGAAAGGCCGTCAGAAAGAAGTATTTACATAATACAGTAGTACGATTTCTATTCGCAGAGCATAAATAATCCCCTTCTTAAAACATCTACACTAAACTTGTCTTAAATCAAATACACTGTCAACACAACTGTCTTCACCAAACATTTGGTCACCATGTTAACATTTGATAATCTGACGAGTACTGTATTATAGGGTAAGCTAATAAATATTTTAAACTTAATCTTATTACTTGGAAAATACACCTTAGATCTTCAGTTTTTCTCGCTCAAACATTGTAATTAACTCTCCTGTGATCTTCAATGAAATAAGGCTATTGAAGTAAATATTATAGCTATGAAATATACACTTTGGAAACATCAATATTGTGACAAAATATTTTAGAAGATTTAACAGTTTTTAAAGATATGATTTATTATTATTCACCAGAATGTCACACACCAATTACTCCTACAATAACGTCATCAAGGGATCTGTACCAAGACACAAGAGTCACCTCAGACAACCAGGAAATTCCTCTCATTGTAAATAATAATATATTTTTCCCATCACAGTAATGTACACACACACACACATATATATATATATATATATATATATATATATATATATATATATATATATATATATATATATATATATATATATATATATATATATATATATATATATATATATATATATATTACTGTATATATATATATATATATTTTTTTTTTTTTTTTTTACAGTAAATAAATTCAAGTTAAAATTTTTACTCGGAATAATTATGGTATAAAATCCGTTTAATATCAGTATAAAAATAATTTACTAGAGTTCCCAGTTTTTAGAAAATTCTAAATTTTGTCTCCATTTTTATGTAAGGATTTTGACTTTTTTTGTAGTCTCAATTCCTTAACCAGCGAAAAGTTTTTTTTTCGACTGCCTTACTTATATTATGTTTTTTCCTGTGGTGTGGCAAAATTACATCTACACTGTGAAGGCGGGACTCACCTGTTGGCCAAACCACTTTTTCTGGCAATAAGAACTGAATATCAGACTCTTTCAATGACTGTGCCGCCTCCACGGTCACCAAGAAGGGCGGGGATGTTCCTGCCTCTCCTGAAGCTGCCATGCTCACATTGAACTTCCCAGCCTGTAGGTTTAAGATTTAGGAAGAGTTAGAATGGGAAAATAAATTTTCCTTTTACTATCCAATAAAATGTGGTGAAGTTGTCCAATTAATTATCAAACAAATTTCAGTTAAATTTTGTATTCTCTCAAAAAAGAGAGAATTTGAATTCAATCATGTGTTGTCCTTCTATATGACTGCTCCTCACTCACCCCTGCAGTCTTCCACCTACACAACACTTCTTCAGTCATAATCTAGAAAATTATAGCACATGACAGATACACCAGCCCTAATTTTTGGGTAGATCAACTTACCGATTGGAAACTGTACGAGATGGATGAGTCACTGCTTGCCATAACTTCACCATCTACAACAAGTTCAAAGCTGGTGGCATTACCAGTCTTGACTATGGCTGTAAAGTTGAGCATTGTGTCGGCCTTGAAGACGGACGGTGACCACTCGGGAGCATCAGTCGCTGACATATATTCGATCGAGATGTTGTCCATTGTGATGCGCTCTATCACCCTCACCTGTAGGGGAGCACACCGTACACAGCCCAACATTAGAGATGCAGGTCTCTAATTTCATAATATGTCATGGGATTAAGTATTCTCAAAGCCTTACGTAAGGTGTGGCAAAATTATGATTTGAGTAAAATGATCTGAATTTTATTGTTCAAATATATTTTCATTATTTAAGAAGAAACTTCTCAACCATTAGGGGAATTACTGTCTAGGTTATTACACACTGACACACTATAAATATAACCAAACTTATGAAGAACCATTTCGGATTCGTGCGATTAAGATACCATCAATATTAACTAAATAACTAACAAAACAGTCCCTAGATTCTTAACAGTTAATGAGTATTTTCTTGCAGCTGATGGTTTTAAATTATATTCAAATATTATTTTCTCAAGAGTAGTTGTACAACCCACAAATATTAAACAAAGGATAAAATACATAACCATTAGTAAGTATATTGATGTTATATACACATTAATATATAAATACGGTTATGTTTTTGGCCAAATATTACTCTACATCACACGGTAATAATGACGTCATGTGTTGGATCAACAGTGCTTAACGTTTTCTATCAGACGATGATGCAAAATTTGTGTTATATTTAACTCTTGTGATCAACTTAACTATCAGACAACAGGTGGTCTGTTGTGTTACTGATCAACATTATTGTTCTGTTCAACACATAAACGACATATGACTTATGTGTTCTGTTCAACACATTTTGAATAAGAAAGGCTTGTTTACAAAATAGTAAACATAAGTTTCCCACTTAACAAGAACCACAAAAATTAGACATTGTGTGTGGACTACTTAAAAAAAAATTACGTAAAAAAATTATACAAGAAAAATGAATTTGTTCTATATCTTCCTGGTTCCTTTATCTAGCCTCCTTATAAAACATAACTATAATAAGAGAAGTTCACAGTATTATCTTTATCTGATAAAAAAAAATCGGTATTATATATAACAATCTTACCATAAGAAGAGGAGCCGTTTTTATCATTGCATTATAGTGGTGAACCAAATTGTATATTTTTAAGTGGCAGGACTACTGTGCTCTCTACCTCAGTGTGCGGGAGTGTGTTGTGTTGTGTGAACTGCATCATAACTACTGAGGTTAACTCTCTAGGGTGGAACATTCATACGACATTAATGAGGGATAACGAAAAATGGCATACCAAGCACTGTAAACACGATGCTTTCTACTACTTGGTGGTACGGAGTCTAGTGTTGGTGGGAACTAGTATAACAAAGTCTAGCTGTGTGATAACTAACTCGGGTATCTACTGAAGCGATGCATTAGGATTTGTTTTAAGGTAATGAGTGAAGTCAGTCAGATAATTGGCAGTCAGGACTGTTAGATGGTGAGCCATAGTAAAGGGGTACTCTTATCATAAGAATCAAGTGATGAGAAACAAACTGTTGTCGAACAAATCAGTGTTGGTGAGACGGCTGTTGTTTGGTGATGTATCGAGCAACTGTTTTGTTTGGTAATGATTTACAGACCAGTTTGGTTATGGGGGCAAAACACCAAGTTTGAGGGTGGATTACAGTCAGGTAGTTGTATCCCAAAAAGTTTGGTGGTGGTGGACCAAACAGATTGGTAGCTAACTACATTGGATGATGACTGTGGATCAAACAGTTGCATAGTAGTGGATCACACAATCTGGTGTTTGTGAACCATACAGCACAGTAGTGGTGGACCAAACGAATTAAGAGTGATAAACTACCTAGTTTGGTGGTAAACCAAATAATTTGGCGGTGGACCAAATAATCTGGTGGTGGACCAAACACTTACACGATGGACCAAACAGTTCAGTGGAGGGTCAAGATAGTTTGGTGGTAGACCAAACAGTTTGGCGGTGGACCAAACAGCTCAGTGGGAGACCAAACACATGGGTGGTGAACCAAACACATTGGTGGTGGACTAAACGCATGGGTGGTAGAACAAACACATGGGTGGTTGACCAAATACACGGGTGGCGGACCAAACACACGGGTGGGGAGCCCAACACACGAGTGGTGGACCAAACATGGGTGGTTTTGAACCAAAATGTCTGATTGCAGTGGGTACGATTGTCTGGTGGTGGTACTGGATTAAACAGTATAATAGTAATGGACCGAGATGTCAGTAGTGGTGAACCAAACAGTGTGGCAGTGGTGGCGAGTCGAGTGTCTGGACCAGATCACGAGTCAGCACTCAACTCCAATACTTAACTAATAAACTATGGCAGGTGAACCTACAGTATCTCCGGCTCACATATGGTAATACGGTCTAACTTATGAGTCACGTAAGTTCGCTGGTCAGAACTAGAAGCGAAGAGTCAGAAAACTTAAATGTAGTCAGAAAACTTAAATGTAGTCAGAAAACTAATAAAGCTATTTACTATAAGTATCATAACATTCTAAAGCTTAACTACGCCTCATACGCATGGCAAAAAAATGAAAAAAATATGTGTGGTTCCATTAACCTTACTGGTCCAATTGTGAACTACCTGCAATTAAGGTTTCTCCGTATCTAACAAAAAAAACCACGAAGCTCATTTATTGCATATTTCACAAATCGTAAAGCAAACAAAAAACTCAAAACAAAGAACATTATAAAAACACACTTCTCTTGGAATTATCTGAAGTAAAGAAATGATGCATTCACAATAAAAATAATAATAACAAAAGAAAATCTTGACTGATCAACACTTTTTTCAACTTGTAGCAAGAACCACACGTATTTTGTTAATAGACTTATAATTAGTCAGACACCTTCGTCATGGCAGGTAAGACTGATGGGGTCACACTACTGTATATGTTCATTGCCATGTTAGCTTTATACAGAAGCTGAGATAGAAGCGAATAGGTTGAACAATGGAACTACTGCAGTGTATCCTACTGAGCAAACCTGCACCTAGCCTGTAAGCATAAGCTGGCGGCAACTGAATATGAATTAATAAATAAAATATTTGATAAGCGAGATAAGTTCAGCTGTTTCTTGGGAAAATTTGCTATGAAATGAGAATGATGTATGACCAGTAATTATTGGGTAGTGCTTTAGGCAAACATGCAAGCAAAACAACTGTGCTCATCAATGTTTTTCAGTGCTAGTGATACTACACCTTCACACAACTAAGCTACTGCAGACCCATAATGTACAGTGCAGTGAGGAGAAACACACATCGTGGTGGCAGTATATGTGGGGATTATTTTTGTTGTGTTTTCAAAGAGTTTTGTCATGTTATATAGTTTTAACATCAAAAGGATACAGGAAAAAATTTCAACAAAACAAAAGTGAGATCAAAATAAATTACTAAAAGTTCGAATTATGCTAAAATTCTCCCGCACATCAGCTTATAACTTACTTTTTTTTTAAAGTTATTTGAATAACATGACAGAAACATCTATGAATTCTTCAAAAATATTCCTCTACGAGGGGAATTTGGCAACACTCATCACTATAATACAATTTTTTTTTGTATTTACAACCTGTGTGCACGAAAAGTTAATGAATAAATTTATCTTCCTGGGATCTAAACTTTTTTTTATAACATTTTTGACGTAAAGTTAATTCTCAGGCATTTTACTTCAATCAACACTACACTACATCCTGCATATCATTTAGGTTTGATAATAAATTATTGTTTTAGTTAATTTCTATTCTTCTATTTTACACTCATAATTGTTCTTAGTAAAGAGTCGTGTTATACAATTATAAAGATATTTCCCGGCTATTAATATACAATGCAGTATATGTTAAAAGTAATGAATATTCTATGTTGATTGAGGGGCCAAGCTATGAACATAAGTCTCACTCAATGGTTAAATCTATTTAATTCACAAACAAGTTAAACGTTAAAATAATTTAAGAAAAATCTAATAAATGATTGTTTGGTTCTTATTGTTTTTCGACCTGATTTTTTTCTTTACTTAAACAAACATTGAGTACTATATCTCGCCCCGCACTCTTGATAACTCTGTCATTACCTCAGTCTCACCTTGGGTCTAGAATATCCCAGATTATACTAAATATTTCCGGATAATACTATGTATGTCCGAATTATTCTAAACATTTCCAGATTGTACTAAATATTTACGGATTTTACTAAACATTTCTGGATAATACTAAATATTTTAAGACTATATTAAATATTTCTGGATTATACTAAAAATACTTAAATTATACTAAACATTTCCGGATTACACTAAACATTTCCGGATTACATCAAATATTTCTGGATTATGCTTAAAATATTCTGGATTATACTAAATATGTCCAGGTTATATAAAACACCTCCGGGTTATAATAAACACTCTCTAACTTCCCTACTTCATAAACTAATGGAACTCATCCTTCACATATCGATTTACTGACTAACAGGACAGAATAGCTTGAGGCAGACACTCGAATTACGAAGAAGAAAATTACTCTTGTTCTCCTACTCACGTTGTTGGCAATTCAGGTTGATTGGGAATGTGTTATGTATTCCTCCCTCCACTGCTCTGTCGACCCCTTGTGGTGTTTGATCCACCTTGATGATTCTTTCACCGTCATTCCTACTGATAATAATGTACACACTTACCGAGCCGGTGACCTGGACGTTTGAAATGGGGTTGCCGATTGAAAGTTGCACCGAGAACTTTCCATTGTCCGTGTAGTTGTGACTGTAGGATTCTGCAATAATTCCTACAGCCCCGGGTTGGGTGAATTGTGTGAGGTTGACGTCAGTGTCGGGCAGACCATCCCCCCATGTGATCGTTCCTGTCAGAAGCGTTGGCAGCTCACCCTCGGAGGAGACGTCGATGGCAGCACTTGCGGTGCCTGTAAAGTTTTTGAAAGAATATTTTATGTCATCCCTTTCTGATAATCCCATGAAAAAGTTTACAAAAGACAACAAAAAGTGACCAAATATTCGACAGTGAGAATTTACAGTACAGTATGTATCTCATCACAGTATTTTACCAATTTAACGTAATTAAAAATTATATACTGTACCAGCAACCGATACGACCAATACAAGTACTGGATCTTCCAAAACCTCTGTGCATTATATTTTTCAAGTACCAGTAGTACAAGTGTTAATGAATAATTATAAATGTGTTCAAGAATGTTGGATTTTTCAATAAGATTCAAAGAGACTAGAAAGTACGAATGCAAACAAAATACTGTATAGATTATGACAAGAAATAATTATTGTAGTACTGTTTGTGTAGGGTAGCGTGGATGTATCGCTTGACTAGTCTCTATAGAGCTGCGTGTTTGATAAGTCTTAAAAACTAGAGTTCCAAGAATTCCCGAGATCGCTACCTCAAAAAATTATATTAAACATTCTTAAAAGTAAAATTTAAGTTGCCATCCTAACCCACCTTGATACACCACACTAGGCAGTTGAAATTCATTCACTCGTGTGTATCAAATAATGTTCGATATTAATGAATTTACAGCGGTTTCTCGTCTACTTTTGCTTTAATTTTCAAAACAGTAATTGTCTAATCTAGCAATAATGTATACCAGCTTTCACAGCAATCGGTCCTAATGAGGTGAAAAACGGCTTGTTATACCTAGTTATTGAAAAAAATAAGTTGTCGAGACAAAAACTAATAATTTTACGAAAAAAAAAAACAGTAAAATTATAATCCTCAAACAGCATATAAATGATGATGAATCTATGTTTTAAGGAATAATAATATGCATAGGTTATACAGGTCACGCACCACTTGTACAGAACACGATATAATAATGTTAAACACACTACTGTAGAGGGACGCCTCCTCATCCTCTTGGCTTTTATTTTACTCACTTATAAGTAGTTTCAAGGTGACACACATACATACACACATACAAACATACATACAAACATACATACATACATACATACATACATACATACCTGGGGGTGTGACGATGAGGGTGGGCACGTTGAGAGTGACGTTGTCTTGCGTCAGGGCACGATATACCCACACCACGTCGTTCAGAGTCGCCTGTTGTCCTTCCCACGTTAAGTTGAGGGACACCGGGTGCTCACCAGTAGTGTTCATCCTGCACACCGTCATGCCTTCTACTGGAGCAGCTGAGAGACAGAAAATATTAAACTCTCTCTCTCTCTCTCTCTCTTTAATACAATGAAACTTTCCTCAAATAGATTCTCTCTTTAATACAATGAAACTTTCCTCAAATAGATTCTCTCTTTAATACAATGAAACTTTCCTCAAATAGATTCTCTCTTTAATACAATGAAACTTTCCTCAAATAGATTCTCTCTTTAATACAATGAAACTTTCCTCAAAACAGATAGATACCCCCCTCTCTCTCTAATGTAAAGACGCTTTCCACAAAACATTATAGGTCCAGTTTCCTCGGTCTCTCTTACTCACCCGCGAAGGACAGAGCTTCAATCACCACATTGTCGACGCTCATGCTCAGGAAGAACGGTGGTACCTCGTGAGTGATTTGATAGAAGAAGGCCATATCTTTATCCACCTCCACCTGTCACCACACACACACACACAGATGGAGACACAACAGGCGTAAGATAAAAATGTTCCTTGAGGATGATGTTATTATTTCAATGCTTAATAGAGGAGATATAGTGTTATGTTTGGTAGGGGGAGATAGTGTAATGTTTGGTAGGGGGAGATAGTGTAATGTTTGGTAGGGGGAGATAGTGTAATGTTTGGTAGGGGGAGATAGTGTTACGTTTGGTAGGGGGAGATAGTGTAATGTTTGGTAGGGGGGGAGATAATGTGTATATGTTTGGTAGGGAGAGATAGTGTAATGTTTGGTAGTGGAGATAGTGTAATGTTTGGTAGGGGGAATAGTGTAATGGGAGATAGTGTAATGTTTGGTAGGGGAGATAGTGTAATGTTTGGTAGGGAGATAGTGTAAGTAGGGGGAGGTTTAGTGTAATGTTTGGTAGGGGGATAGTGTAATGTTTGGTAGGGGGAGATAGTGTAATGTTTGGCAGGGGAGATAGTGTAATGTTTGGTAGGGAGATAATAGTGTAATGTTCGGTAGGGAGATAGTGTAATGTTCGGGGGAATAGTGTAATGTTTGGTAGGGAGATAGTGTAATGTTTGGTAGGGAGATAGTGTAATGTTCGGTAGGGGGAGATAGTGTAATGTTTGGTAGGGAGATAGTGTGTTGTAGGGGAGATAGTGTAATGTTTGGTAGGGAGAGATAGTGTAATGTTTGGTAGGGGGATAGTGTAATGTTTGGTAGGGAGATAGTGTAATGTTTGGTAGGGAGATAGTGTTATGTTTGGTAGGGAGATAGTGTAATGTTTGGTAGGGAGATAGTGTTACGTTTGGTAGGGGAGATAGTGTAATGTTTGGTGGGAGATAGTGTAATGTTTGGTAGGGGGAGATAGTGTTACGTTTGGTAGGGGGAGATAGTGTAATGTTTGGTAGGGGGAGATAGTGTTACGTTTGGTAGGGGGAGATAGTGTAATGTTTGGTAGGGGGAGATAGTGTTACGTTTGGTAGGGGGAGATAGTGTAATGTTTGGTAGGGAGAGATTTACAATAACAAAGATTACAGAACCTCGCCCAAGCGTTACTCACGTGTTTTGGGAAGAGCCATTGCAAGTCGCCAGGCAGAGCTCCGTCGGCCAGAGCACCTATGAGGGGGCCAAGAAAACATCCTGGTTAGTCCACAGTGACCCAGATATAGATAGATAGACAGACAGACAGACATTCAGACAGACAGAGGTAGATATATAGACTAGATGATACGCAGATAGAATGATATATATAGATTGATAGATAGATAGATACACAGTACCCTAGAACTAAATAATGACTCCTGTACCAATGTATACAACGGGTTAGGGGTAACTGATCTAAGTATTTTCTTATCATGTAAAGTGTACTGTTTGAGACGCTTATTGGTGGTAACCTTTTGTTTAGGGGGGATAGTGGGGCTGATATGTTAGTTATACTTCCATACTGTATGATCTGATACAGGCAGCTACCAAACAGGGAGGTACTACCGCCTGGGAAGATATTGGAAGCATAATGTGTTGTCTAATGGTAGACCCTGCTGCCATATGGCATCACGAAAATTGTGACCAAGTCCCAGGTTGCTGATATGACTTTCTGCCTCATTTACACACAATTGCAGGGTTTCAATTGTTTCTTACTATTGACAAATGACAACACATACATAATGTATATCGTTTCTCACTCTTGATATATTTTTTGGTTTTTGTATATATTTTTTTGGTTATTATTAATATGTTTATTACTTTAATTTGATGTTATTAATTTTTATTAATTATTATACTAATAATAATAATAGTTATTAATATTATTGTTAATATTATTATTACTACATTTTCGCCCACCAGGCCCTGATGTGGGTCAGTGACCTGTGTTTGGGTGGGCTAATCCCCGTAAAAAAAAAAAATTATATATATATTAGTTATAATGCCCTATAGTATAACTGCCCTACGGTCTACTGCCCTACGTACGGTATACCGCCTTACGGTATATTCCAGTAGTCATGTTTCAACAAGTGGTCGCTACGATAAATATAGTAATGTAAAGAGTCAAATACACGATAATGCAGCACAGGAGGTACAGACACCAGCTAGGGATGACTCACGTGACTGAGGGAACTGTTGTCAAGCGAGCGGTGAGGCAGATGACTCACAAAATGACGATCACTCAATCAATGTGTAATGTGCTAGGCTGGAGACACACACACACACACACACACACACACACACACACACACACACACTTCTGGTATGCTTAGAATTTTTGCCGTTGTAGTATAATTTATATTCATATTATAACTATAGTGATAGTAAAATAATTTTTGGTAAGAATTGTATCACTAATATTTTTTTATTGTTGGTAACTAAGTCCAATAACTAATTTTGTATTACGCGCTTAAAAAGGCCGTAGTTGTTGAAGCGTATAATGCGTCATAACATCAATACTAATAAGACAAACTGTAATATAACAAGTTTTTATTTATTTATTTCATTTCATTAAGGTATACTATTAACCACAACTATGAGGGTCAATATTTTCGTGTTTCATTTCACTCGTATGGAAGGTCTGTACATACACAGCGAATAATTATCCCGTTCCAACATTCCTGCGTTCAGTGTTTGTTTTTGTCTCAATCCATCATTCTATACAGTGGATCGTGAACTACGGAAAAACATGTATATCACTGAAGACGGTTTCATTTGGTGGAGATATTGAGAATACGAGCCTAATGTTTGTATAAAATTTAATCTACTATAATACCCATCCATATATCACTCTGATCTAACTTGTCTTTATCACCCCTTAGACATTTGACCTCTAGCCATGGGGCAGCAAAACTAAATTTGTCCAAGATATTGTTCCCGTCAAATGCTCTAACGAAATTCTTTTATTAATTAGTTTTAGCGGTTTTTTATGCGCAGCTTTTAGCAAATATATATATATATATATATATATATATATATATATATATATATATATATATATATATATATATATATATATATATATATATATATATATATATATATTAGCATTCATGGGTTATAGCTGTTTGTAAATAAAGATTAAGAAATAGAGAGAAATATAGATAGCCGTACGATAAACAGGCGAACATGTTAAATGTCTCGTGTTTACGTGTGTTTATGTTGTATACGAGTGCGCTCATCAAATGCTGGAGCATGAAGGACACTTACTATGGGATGTCACACACACAGAGGAGCCCATGGGGTGAGGATCAATGTACACGTTTCACCTAAGATCGTTTTAGTTTCGTCTCATCATGTTAGAGTAGGTTATGCAAAATCCTATGAAGGGAGGGAGATATGCTGGGGAGGGGTGGGCCTGTGTCACTCTATAGCGTTTTAAACTAATTGGGCTAAGTTGACTTTACGATTAGTTACTTTAGCTAGCATTAGATCACGATACTCGCACATGATAAGGTTACGCTAAATTTTATTAGACTAATTAAGGTTAGGCTAGACTTGGTTCCGGTGTGCATGGTAGATGAGGGGGGGAGGGGAGGGGGAGTGAGGTAGGAAGTGAATGAATTTTAAAGCTTCCAAGCTATAAAACGTTCGACCTAATACAATCTGAACTTGAGCGTCCATGACTGTTATGTTTGGCCCACGTTGTCCATTCTGTGTGCGTGTGTGTGTAGCTGTGATGCAGTGTTTGTGTTATACCTCACCTCTAGCTATACTTTCCGCTGCCTGTCTACCTTAATAACATCTCGTTTCTTGCTGATAAATTCCTTATCCATAACCTACACACTGACGATGTCCATACACAACATCAAAAAGTCAGTCAGGTAAACAGGTAAACGCTTGTACCCTTTCAAGGTGGCTCACAGAAAATGAACTGGAGAAAAAAAGAGGGGGGAATTGTCCCATGATCACTAACTATAATCACACCCGATGAACTAACTGATAGATATTTCGATCACGGGCAAGCAATCCAAGCAGGCGGTGTACTCTGGGTGGAATGTTTATAAGACACGAGGTACAAATAGTTTCCTAAGTAATGCAGAATTTAGGATAAAAAATTGATCGGGAGGAACTGCTGCTGCTCACATCTATACTTGACTAAAACACCACTGGTCATTTCTCTCTTGATACTATTAGAAAGGTAGATTAATATAAAGTGAATGTTCTAGAGTTTTAATTACTCAGTTGTTGCGTTGTCGAGATATCTTACTTGAAAATACTTAAACTTAGTTCCAAAGATGTCCACCAGGAGAGTGACTTTCCAACATGTTCGTAAAACTTTCTTCCAAACCTGAAGCAAATAGATCGAGGTGTTGTCGAGATAAGGAATAGAATTAAAAAAAAAATAGAAAGAGCAAAAACTCTCACACCCAAAACGATCACCGTGGAGTAATACAACACACCGAAACAGAACCACACCGTCGGTATCCAAGCAGCACATGCGGTCACTAGTGGGTTCAGGAAACAAACACTGTAGCCTCTCCCTTCCCCACTCATTAAGACTCCTCTCGGGTACTATTTTCCTGTCAACTTCAAGAACAACTTAGTAGCTCTCGTGACGTCCCGCCTCCCTGGCTCCCCTTCTTAATAGGTCGTGGTTAATTGTAACAGGGGGAGAGTGAGACATGGTGAGAGGGAAGGAGGGCAGTGTGGAGAGGAAGGGGTGTGGAGAGGAAAGGATGGAGGGACGGAGAAGAGAAACGGGAGAGAAAAGGAAGTGGAAATGGGGAGACGTAGAAAGGTCTGGGAGAAGTAGGGAGGGATGGGGAGAGGCAGGGAAGGGAAATGGTAACGATAGAGGAATGAAATCTAGAAAATTAGAGGAGGAAGGGAGGGAGAGAAAGGAAAGGGGAGGGGGGGGGGAGGGGACGAGGGATTAAGTCTTAACAGCGGATGGAAGGTGAAGAGTGAGAGTGACATGAGAGATGGAGTTAAGGAGTATGTAGGAGTCTCTCCCTAATTTTTTCATTCTAGTTGTGTATGTAATGTTGTAGATGGACTGTTGTGTTGTAGCTCCACATACTGCATGCATTAGAAATATAATAAGTATCGTAAGTGCCTAGCTCAAGATACGAGAACTTGAACTTTACTTGACTTAAAGTCCTGCGTGAGAAACTGAATCATCAAAATGAAATTACCTGGAGCACAACAACAAAAATTCCACACATACCGTACATAGCCATTCAGAGAAACGTTAGCTCAAGTGCTATGCGATGAAGCTATCTTGTGCTTTAATGTCCAGGTATTACTACGGTTCAACGACAACGGACGCTACGGTTTCCCTTCAGCTGAATAACGTCTAATCCTTCAAGTCGTTCGTAACACTCATGGGGTTATGACCGTAACAGGAAGTCATCAACATTTAAAAGTTATGAAATATAATTATAACTTGTTTATAAACTTTCTGACACTGAAATTGCATTACTGCACTGCAACAACTTTAAGGGCATAACAAGGTTAGTAATTACACTAGCTCATCAACAATTTTAAAAGGAGTAATTATTCCGCCGAAAAGAAGAGTCAGAAAGTTATCAGTGAAAGCTGCAAACCTATACAAATATAGGAGGTATATAAGACTACCACAGCTTTAAATATTTTCACCACTCCACACACTTTTAATCTGAATATTAAGAAACACTTAAATATATAGTAATCAATGGAATACCCTGGTATATATACACAACAGAGGTCTACGAGTTTAGTTACGTCTCGCAGCCTCATGCATTACAGTATATTTAAATCGTGTTATTGACCTTATGAGTGTACAACAGTTGTTAAACGTAGCCATAAATGTTACACCATTTAATTATGTTATACACTACCCGATGTTATGGCCACAACACAACCTAACTCTGTTGTTCCTGTAGATTTGCACTGGAACTACATCAAGCCAGGATAAGATAGCATAAACTCTACCTACATAATATAACAAAAAAGAGAACTACTGTATAATTTGGGTAATGGTGGGCATCCTGCAGAGATGGTAATAATTCACTCCGCAATGGCTTCAGAGGTTATATTTGGAGATATTCTATCTTCTATATGTCCTTGTACCATTTAAAAGAATACTGGTGTCTATATTGGTTGTCTGCAGGTCAAGAACCATCGAAGATTGAGAGTGGTAGTCGTCTGTC